GAGAGTCACGCTGCACCGAGGACACGGGCTTGGGCCGGCTGAATCCTACATGGGGCTATCATCACATCACATCCGAGCTGCCCAGCTACCGTCCCTCGTGATGGGCCGCCCTTTTTTCCCCTCTCAGTTCTCCTCGTCGACTACAGTAGAATGTCACCCCATAGCTAGTGCTTTGCCGGGGAATATGCCGGGATCCTGAGATTAGGGGAATGTGACCTGTCAGCTGCTGTTCGAGCTATCAGCGCAAAGAGTCTTCATTTTAAAATTTGCATCTCGACAAGAGCACGGCTGGTCACATTAGCGGCATCCCGAATTTTCTTTGACGTATCCGCTGCTGGCACCCAAGTTACGTCCCACACTTGCAAGAATGACAAGCTCAGATGGGTAAAGTCCGTTTGTGATATTTGACAGCTGACTCCAAGATTCTTGTGCTGCGGAGAAGAGAAAAGGATAACAATGGCAAGGTACACGGCCCCCACGAAGCTCAAGCGCCTTTCTTTTCCCTCTTCGCAACAAACTCCGACAGTAGTAGTAGTGTCTTCCTTCTGCTCCTTGTGTGGGGGCTAGCTTTTGCGCTGAGGACCATAATGATACGTTTAGCTTGAGAGTCTATATGATTGCTTTATGGATAACCGCCACGGCCGCGTATACGAAATGGATATAGAGTTTGTCCAAGTGGATTTGAGCAGTTGGAACCACCTGATACATTGGCTCGGCATACACGCCAGTCTCGGAAATGTACGTGGGATGCTACAACGCGTTGACCAGCATGACGCCCAATGAAGTTACGCGCTACGGACACGCTCACGTAACCCCCGTGAAAGAAGATCTGGCGACGGAAGCGCGCGGAAGCCCAGCGCGCTGCCATGTTAGCCGACCGGTGTGAACCACATCCCTTTGCGACGAGCTTTCTCTTTGGGCGTAGGAAGTACTCCTCAGTTCCATGAACCAGCGTGGTAGCCTTTTCCAGTTTAGTAGCCGTGGAAGTTCTGCTCCTTCTGCTTCTGCACAGTGCTCAATCGATTTGAGCTGATAGATATGGACAGCTGGAGCAAGGTATCTACTGAATACTAATATTGAAACGCTGCAGGTTTAAATCGAGCATGAGATGCCGCAGGTCAGGCCTCGAGATGGAGGCTCCTAAGATCACTACACAACAGGCATGTTCCAGTTCCTGTCAATGGCCGCGTCATGTAAGCCAGCAACGGCTAAACAGTCGGAGGGTTTGATTAAAAAACTACTGCCATTGTAACTGCCGTAGGAAGCGTAGATGTCCCAGGTCTCTTTAGCCTACCGAAGAAGTGTCACGTATGATGAAGTGGAATCCAATCTAAAGCCAGTGAACGAAACGGTATGCTGAGACTGAGATCCCATGCATCGGTCATGAGCGTGTGTGAGAATGGAGCGGTTCTCTCCGCAAGGACCGATTTCCTAAACAGAAGGACGTTATGTTCGAAAAAGCCAAAAGGGGCCGTGTGCAGACTTACGGGGTTTGAGACGAATACTCTGGTTCTGGACCATCTACTGAGCCAGGGTTAAAAGAGGTGAGAGTTTGCCAATCAGTGCTTGCTGATTAGTAGGTGGGCCTGGGCGATCATGATGCTTATAGGCTATTGAGTATCAAACAGAATACAGGGTGTACTACTTGTAAATACGAAGCACAAAAACACTGACAACTCTTTGATAACTGCGGATACGAAGTGTGTTCAAATTCGGTCGAGTTATCTCTGGATCTCTTCCTCTTTCTTCATTGGCCCTAGGCGTCGAGGAACTATTTCGGCCAATTGAACCCGGACAAAAGCTTGTTTGGTCGTCTTTATCGTATGGAGTACTACAAGCAGCAACAGCCGTAAGCTGTCTTCAAGGGATATCCCAGACAACATGTTGGTGTTCTAGGAACAGCCAAACGTGGTCAGTAAAGTCATATACATGCAGAAGTGAATAAGGAGCCTACAGATATGGAGGTGGGATATTCTAGTCGGTATGGATCTACAGAATACTTCATATGATGTTCGAGACCCCTACCATCTATCGTTTTTTTCATTTTTTCTTTCGGCAACACCTTCTATGTACGGGACCAGAGTGGGTTTGAATGAGACCGCGATACAACTTTTCTCTTGGAAACAAGGGAAACAAACCTATGCCTTGGACCAAAGAAATAAAATATAATATTCTTTCCCAGTTTCCTGGTTATTAATAAAGAAAAGAAAGGGAAGAGGCGAAATTGCCGTCAAGTTTCATGTGGAGAACATCAAGAGAGAGCTACCAGGTGTTCGTGCTAGACAGGACAGGCCAGATGCTGGTTCGGAAAGACTTTGCATGCACTCCTTCAACTCATACCTGACAAGGTAAGGTACCCCTGGTGATGCACGTAGTTATCATGCCTAGAGGAAAGAGAAGAGAAATAAAAGGACTTAAAATGAGCATGGTAGGGTGCAAAGAGAAGATGGAGAAATAAAGAGAGAGAGAGAGAGAGAGAGAGAACAAGGGCAGGTTGTTTTCACAAACGCCTCCTGCAGGCCGAGATATACGGATTACCTAGCACTCCAAGTAGCAAGTAGCACGAGTATGTAATACTGTATTTTGTTGGTCTCTCTCTTTTTTTTTTTGGAGAGTGGCTTAGGGGAGCTATGCTAAAAAGAAACGAGACACCCCCTAGTCGGATGCACCCTTGGGCTGCCACACCTTGGGAAAAGTTGGCCGATAGTAAACGGAGAAGTAAAAAGAGAGATCTGGATAATGGAGAGGTTGGTTGGACTTGAGAAGAGCCTCGATCGTCCTTTCTGCTGGTGGTGTGTTCTGCGTAGATCTGGCGTCTTTATTTCTTCTCTGGGCAGCTACATACATACGTCGAGGCCTAGGTGACACGTGAAGATGTGAGATTTGTGAGATGCTGGCCATGCGCGACATTTGTTGACAAAGTCACTATTACTATTGGTACATGGCTTGAATTTTTTGGTAAGAGAGCCTACTAAAACAAAAGAACTGTTCTGTTGTCAATGTGTTCTGCCTGCAATATAGAGAAAGAAAAAAGGATCTATCAACACGCGCTCCACTGGCGAGACAATGCCTTTTGACGGTGTTGCGAACGAAACGTTGAGATTTTGTTTACTTCTTAACATCCCTTTCGAAGCAAGCCAAGACTTTCAGCTGCTGAAGTCGTTTTGTCTTCTTTTCTCAATGGCGGGCTACTTCTAGTTATCTATTGTAGGAGTTTTAACACGCGACGTGCTGGCAAAGCGTATAAGTCGGCCAACCACAAGATACGACTGCGTTTGCGTACGCGTGTGTTACCTAGTTACTACAGTGCAGTACAGTACAGTACCGGTGAAAAANAAAAAAAAAAAAAAAGTCATATTCCCTGACTAGCCTCGCCATCGTGCATTCGGTGTGCATGCAGGTATCATCACTAGTCCGTATCGCGTTGTTTATTCCGCAATTTTGCTTGTTGCCGCCAGCACGGACGCTCGTGCGACGGCGGAGCTTGAGCGAGGCGCGCAAACACTGCCTGATTATTTGCTTGGGCTGCAATTATTGCTTCCATGTCCATTTTTGGTTGCTGTTTGAGGTACCTACTCTGTAGGTAGTACCATGGAATTTCGGGGCCATGAGTCGCGCGTTGATCCTTTGACCTCCTGCATCCTGATTGATTGATTGGATGGCGTCTTCTCCCACTCAGCCTCACGAAAAACGGGGGTGATTGATACAAGAATGTGGGTTTCATTTACTTGCTTAGCACATGACGTCTTGTGACAAATACCTTCAATGGGCTGCGAACACCCCCAAAGAAACAACGGAATGCTGTTTCAAGTAATAGCATTTTACGCCTACTCCCTACGTACGAGTATCTATCTGTATCTTGATGCCTACCGATTTCGTTGCGGCAGTATGTAACCCAAGGTCAGCACACCTCTCGATGCATTAGCGATCCAACGGTATGTACGGGTGCTGTCATCACTACGGAGTTTACTAGCAGCAGCAATACTTTGTAGATTAGTATTCTCCGCCCTCATTGGGCAAATTTGAGCTTGATAAAAATACCTAGTAGGTAGCTAAGAGTAGAATACTACAACTCTGGTAGAAGAACAAATGTACGAGCACGTGAAATGAACCAGAAAGTATTGGGTACTTATCAGCACTTGTGCGCTCCTAATTTAAGAAGGGAATACGCGCGACTTCATTTCCAGTTGCGCCTTGGGGTATTCTTGAGTACACGCCATACGGGCTGCCATGGTACGCTTCGAGTTCCACTTGGAATGTGACATTAAGAGGCCTCGTCACTCACGCTGTGCTGAGCCAACAAGCAGCACTGATGGATGTTTCAGCATCAGGGCGTTGTTACTATACACGAGGAACGATGCAAAAATGCAACTCGACTGGATGGTGAGCTGGAATAAGGACGGAAATACTTTGTGCGCTGTTCACCGTATGCTTTAGTAGGTACTAAAGCTTGCGGAAGTACATGATGAGAAGCTCTTATTGTAGCAGACGCTGCTAGTTAGGTGCCTTACTCAGTTTCTGAATGTATTTATAGATATAGTAGGTACTTCAACATTACTGTGGTATTTTTGAAAGCCCCTCTATACGGTGCGGAGATAAATCATTGTTGCTCTGGTTATATTGTTCTTGCGAACTAGCACCAATAGTTCTTAATTGGGCCATTCCATCAATGAACTTTTTTTTCTTCACCCATCTGCATGAAGATGTAATTTAACTTAATCAATAGGTAAATAACCTGTCATTTAATTCCTTGGCCATCGACACCCAACAGCCCGTTCCTTGGTTCGATAGGGCAGCCGTGGTGCAGCGCCGCCCTCGACATCATTCGCCTGCTTCGGCACTTTGGGAAATTGTTGGGTGATAAACGGCGTGACAACAGCCAAATATTCGGCACCAAGGAATAGCCTTGATTTCCTGGTAATAAGGATTCTCCACGAGTACGAAAGCAATCCTCGTTGGGCATGTCTCTCGCTATATCTTATGCCGAGTCCACGCTACCATCACTCGTCATCTGATGTCGTAAGTTTTCTTCGCTTCCGTCCCGCCTGAGAGGATTCATCTTCATTATGCCCAACCACGGACTCGCCACCGGATTCCTGTGCCGTGCTGCCCTCACGCCAGTCTTGACCAACGCCGTTGTCGTCATTGTTGTCATGGGTGCCTTCAGTGAAAACGAGATGACCTCGTCGACCGAGAACTTCTCGGCCCGCCTCCTCTAACAGAATGCCAAAGGCCAGCAGTGCCGTCTCATCCATGCTGCACTCGTCCAAGTTGCGTCCACTTCCCGAGGTTCCCTGATGGCGGCTCAGAGTCCCGTAAAACTCGGACGTGTACTCATGAATAGCCATTAGGAGATCGCTCTGGGGTAGAATGCCGCGCCCACCGTTGGGTAGGTCCCACTCGTGCGCACGGTAGATGTCGTGCTCTGCGTACCGCTCTGGAGCGTCTTTGCGGCGAAACAAGACATCATCTGGAGCGAGCTTGAAGCTATCTCGCTGGTCGACGATGCGAGGCTGGAAAGTCTTGTCGTCCCGAGCCTCATCTCGCAGTACTCTATCATACGTGACCCTTCCTTGCATATAGTTAATTTCACGTGACAAGATTTAATTCCCAGATTTCTGGGAGAGGCTCATTTTGGATCCCCTTGGCTCACCTGCGACTGCGTCGTATACGGTAGCGAGCGTCCGCTGGCCCTGGCGTCGGTTGCCGCCAGATGGCTGTGACATATGCGGCTGGTTACCGATGTCGGGATTTCCCACGTATTCGTCTGCAGAGTCCATGGTATTTCCTTTGTCTTCTGTGTCTTCTCTCCTGGGGGGTGCCTTTGATACCCGGCACTCTCGTACCTAGGGAGCACACAATCCTTGCTCGCCCTCACGGGTTCCAAAGTGATACCAAGAGAAAACTACTCCGCATCAAGCAAATCATGGCAGCTACAGCAGACAGGCCAGGCAAATGAGAAGAAGAACAGCCCCTGGTTGGCCTCGGAATTGCGCCTGGAGTCGAGCCTCGGACGGTGAGAAAAAAAGAACGATTCGTCGAAACAAAGTTTTGGCGCCATAGCGTGGTTGCGGTAGCTGCCACCAATTGTGGGGTGCATTAGTCGTTAGTACTTTGACTTTGACCGCCTTCGGTGACATCACGCGGAGCTTGCCGTGCCGACTTTCACTCAGCTTTCGACTTCACTCGCTACAGCTTCGTTCTAGTCTAGGGATGAATCTAGCTCAGGCAAAAGCCGCTGCGACTAGACAAAGTCACAGCACAGATTCTCTTGCTGTGTCGAAAGCGCCTCTTAGATGAATGCAGTCTCGCCTTCTCGCCCGTGAAATAGGCGACCTATCGTGTCGCGACCTCTCGCAGATCACTGCATCTCAGCTGCTGCGCTCCTTCGAACCAGCTCCCCAGCACCGCTTCAACGGCGAGGCGAAATTGCCTCAGAATGATCAGCAGACCGCGTTGGACGAGGACCGGCCGCACAGACTGCGCGCCCACGGTGCAGGGGTGAGCAGCCTTGCCCTTGAGAAGTTTGATGGCCGCATCCTCGTCTCTGGTGGCGCCGACGGATCAATCAAGCTCTGGGACTTGGAGAGCTGCCCAGGCCCTTATGAGATTCACACGTTTCGCCCCGTAAGCTCCATCAGCCGATCGACTGGCGGCCCCCGAAGCAGCGGCCACAGCCATGGAATCACCCACCTGGCCTTCTATCCTTTCGACCCGGATGCCTTCCTCTCCAGCTCCTATGACAAGACCCTCAAGCTGTGGGCCACTGCAAAGACCGCCCTGTCTGCACAGTTCGACCTCAATGCCACCGTATACTCGCATGCCTCTAGCCCAATCGCTTCTCACCTGCTTATCTCGTGCGCCACCCAACACTCCAACGTCCGTCTCGTAGACCTCAAGTCGGGATCTGCCGTCCAGGCGCTCGTTGCCCACGGCGGGCCCGTCCTCAGCACAGCATGGAGCCCTCGCCACGAGCACATCCTCGTCAGCGGCCATGCAGACGGCAAGGCCCGCATATGGGACATTCGCCGCGCTGGTGGCGTTCTTGCGCAGCTCGACCAGGAAGACTCCTTGGGCGTTGTGCATCGCTTTAAGCACGCCACGGCGTCTGGGTCCGATTGGGGTAGCATGCCGCATTTTCGTGCCTCAGCTCAGGCCCACGACGAGGCCGTCAATGGGCTGCAGTGGACCGATGATGGGAGGTACATTGTGTCGGCTGGGCTTGACCGCCGCATCAGAGTATGGGATACTGATACGGGTGCCAATACGCTTGCCAGCTTTGGATCTATCGTTCAAAACCAGCACGCTAAGACTGCAAGTTTCCTGGTGACCCCGTCGGGCCTCTCCACGGGCCACCAGCTTCTGGTCTGGCCAAACGACCAAGAAATCCTCCTACTGGACCTCCACGACGGGACTGTCGTTGGACGCCTGCGGAGCCCTGGCTCGACGCACTCCACGGATGTCCGCGGCTCACAAATGGGACGCAACCGCATCACAAACATCGCGTGGCGCAGTGCAGGGGCCGGCATTGGGCAGGCAGGACCCGTCATGGGTGGTGGCAACTCAATAGGAGCGATTTATAGCTCTCATCTAGACGGTCAAATACGGGCCTGGATGCCGCAGCTTCCTGGACCGGAAGATGCGGACGAGGACGATGAGGTTGGCGTAGATGAAGAGGTAAAACAGAGAAAGAGGAAAGCTATCGAAAACGCATATAGAAGCCTCATGGGTAAGGAGATTACGTTCACTTAACTTTACTCTTCTATGTGTAAAAACATCGGACCGTGGGCTATATATAGATAGGCTACAGCAAGGCATAGAATAGATAGTCAAATTTGATCTTGTCTATATAAGAAAAAGCAAATATCAAGAGTCGCCTGCCTCTCATCCTAGACGCCATTCCCATCATAGATTAACCATCCCGTAAGGCTGCGTCCAACTAGCAGCAAGACCAATTTCCCAGGTTCATACAACAACGACAAAGCAAAGCCAACCATCAGGATAGGCGGCTTCTCTCATCATTTCCCCCAAGGGGGCATTAAAGGGAGCGGGTACCCCGTGAAGCACCACGCTTGCCAGCACAGGGTCTCGACTGCTGGGAAACAGCATGGGCATCAGGTCCCTGAGAGCCTGTCCTAGCAGCTTTGGCTTTCGGTCTGGTGCGACGACGGGGACCAATGACTGGACGACTTTGAACGATCCAGCTTCACCGGCTGCAAGAGCAGGAGGTGAACTGTCGCCTCCTGCATTAGAAGGCGGCGTCGAGGGGATGTAGATGCGTATGGGAACATGCTTGAGGGTGGCTGGGGCGTTGAGAAGGCGGGTGTGAATTTTGGCAAATGCAACGTAGTCGTTGTCAATGACGGCGTTCCATAGCTGGGTGGTGTGTTCCTTGGACATTTTCATGATTTGGTTGGCGTTGCCATAGCGAACAAAGTCGGCCTGTTATGCAGTTTGAGTATTATGCATATATAAAACCAAAGGACAAACAAAATCGAGTCAAGTAGAATGAGACGAAAAACAATAATAGGTGGTTACTTACCTCTTTGACGCTGTTTAGAAAGGTATCTCCAATATCCCATGCAACCCCGTCATCCACCACCAGTCGCCAGGGCAGACTTGGCGCATACAAATCAGCCAGCAGCCCCACAGCAAGGTTCCTTAGCTGCACATCCTCAAAGTGAAAGCTGGAGCACGGTGCATCGAAGAAGGCGGAGAGGCGTGGCAGCAGCAGTGACAAGTAGCTGAAGCGGGGGACGCTGGTGATGAAGGGCGTCGTGGGAGATGATCGGTGAGTAATGTGCAGGGGGATCTGCGTGGCCCAGAGCGTCTGGGAGATGGAGGAGGACGCAGACATGGCTTGCTTTGTTTGATAAGGCTCGGCGAGAGGTTATGGCGGAACCATGGCGAGAAGAGCAACGCAAGACTTTTGTTGCTGTTGTATGTAGCACGGAGCGGATTGAGGCGGCAATGCCCTTGTGTCTACGGAGCTAACAGAAGCAGCTCAGCAGTTGAGCAAGAGTATTGGAGGACTGGAATCAACTGTCAGAGAGCAACTGTGATGACTGATGCTATAAACAACGCTCGGCTTGATACAGGATGGAAAAAGAGATGCCAAGTGTGAGGCCAATATTGAGTAGCCGGAGCCTTATTGCAGCAGGTGGGGCTGGTGTTGAGACGCAGGCACCAAGACGGCAGGTGGGGGTTGCCGTGGCGCTTGCCCTTTGTTTGCTTCTGCCTTGCACTACTACCTAGTATGTAGGTACTTGAGGTATGCACTAAAGCTAGCAGGTACAGTACCTTAGTATATCGGCATGATCGGGCTACCTCCATCATGGAACGGAAGTCTCAACTTTACATCTCCCTTTGTCTGGTGCTACTACTCGCATAGGCACCCAAGTATTCACAGGAATGCATTCAAAAAACCTCAATCTCGGCGTATTTCATCCGACAAACCATTATTCACATCCCAAAACGTGTCAGTACTATCCTTTTCAGCTCCTCACCGGCTGCAAGGCCCTGCAGCACGAACCTTGCTTGAATGCTACCCCAGTCAGTCAGCCGCACGGCGTGGCTGACCGATAGATGATGAATCTTTGTTTGCTTCAGCTGTGATGGGCTTCTTCTCATCGGATTGGCTGCCAATTATCTGCTCAGCCTGCTCGTACGGCGTGCCATGTAGGTATGTGTGAGGTGGCATGCGTCTGTACGTCGGTGCGTCTATGCTTGCCCATGCTCCTTAATGAGTACAGCAAGTATTTACTTAGCATACTTATACGGAGCAATGGGGTATGAAGTGTTAGATTTGCATTCAAAGGCATTGAATCGAAGTTTGCTCTCTCCCCTTAACGCCAACAACCATGAGATGCATGCAAACCTGCAGCCACACACGTTACACGCTCTGAGCAAACGGAAAAAGGTGCTACAGAGTATTATTCGACTAGGTACGATCTTACGTTTGCCTGGGTCCTTCCAAATGGTTGATTTGATTTAATTTGATTTCATGTCAATTCATTAATCCTAGCGCTAACATTACAATAATAGTACAAACTGATTAGTTCCATGACCCATCAAAAGAATGTTCCCAGTGGGCTACAATCCACGATGTTGTTCCTGGTGCGAGACACTATGCCTCCGCACACGGTCATAGTTCCTATCGCCATGCTCAATAACTGGCGTACCAATGTGCTTCTGCAAAACTGAAGGCGGTACTTGAGCGGCATCCGTAGGATCCTTGGCCGTTATCCCAGCGACCCTGGATTTTGTTAGTATGCCGCATTTCTATCGGGTTTTAGATGTAGTGTGCCTACCTACTCACGACTGATAAGTCTTGTTGCCTCCATAGGTCTTGCTATTATCGAGGTCGCTGTCCACACGAGGGTCGGCCTTGTTCATCATATCGGACTTGTGTGGGCCAGCTGTGTTGGAAGCTGGGCCCGTAGCCTGGCGATCAGTTCCAAAACCGCCGCCGAGGCTGCCCATGCCACCGTATGCACTGGTAGTGGTGGTGTCACTGCCAAGGGTGCCTGTTTGTTGACCATAGCTGCGATCATCAGAGCCGAGCCCTGAGGTCGTGTCCATACCAGAATAGGTACCGGTACCAGTACCTGAGCCTAGCCCAGAGGTCTTGCCCACACCAGATGAGTAGGTGTCTCTTCCTGAGCCACGTCCTGAGGCCGTGTCCATGCCGGATGTGTAAGTGCCAGTCGTGCCGGAGGTATCGATGCCGCTGCCGGCTCCGAGAGTATCAGTACCCATACCGGTACCGAATCCCGTGCCCGCGGTAGCTCCAGAGGTACCAGAAGTTCTGGTAGTTCCAATATCGTGGGTAGCCTTCTCAGAGCGGAGGCCCATGTTGCGGCTGCCATCGAGATCTGAGTCGATTCGGGGATCAGCCTTGTTCATGGTATCGGACTTGTGCGTGCCGGCAGTTTTGGAAGCAGGACCAGTCGAACCGAATGCGGTTCCGGTGCCTGTAGTTCCGGTGCCTGTAGTTCCGGTGGTCGTAGTTCTGGTGCCCGTAGTTCCGGTGCCCGTAGTTCCGGTGCCCGTAGTTCCAGTTCTAGAGGTTCCAGTTTCGTAGGCAGTGCTGGTAGTTCCAGCATGGGTAGCCTTCTCAGAGCGGAGGCCCATGTTTTTGCTGCCATCGAGATCTGAGTCGATTCTGGGGTCGGCCTTGTTCATCATATCGGACTTGTGCATGCCGGCGGTTGTGGGAGCAGGACCGGTTCGGCCAGACGAAGTGAGGGTATCTCCGGCGGTGCTTGTGCCATGAGTGTTTGATGCGCCGTATGAGTAGTTATCACCACCTGTGGTGTACGAGCCATCATGGCGGCCCAACGCCTCGCGGTTGTCACGGTCGGAGTCAACACGAGGGTCAGCAGCATTGGCAGTTCGGGAGCTGTGAGGTCCATGAGTGCCCTCGGGCTGCTCAGTCTTGTTGTCGGAGTGGCTCTGAAGCTTGTCCTTGACCTTTTCGATGAGTGAAGCCATGATGGTTGATTCTATTCAATGTTTCAAGATATGTGTAAGTTGTCAAAGAGGATTCTGTTGATGGTTTTGTTTGATTGGTATGATAGGATGATGGAATTTCAGAAATAAGATGGAAGAGCATCACGATTATATAGAACTTTATCCGAATCATCTCTCCGCAAAAGGATCGCTGCCTATGATGACATGGTGGCTCATGCTATAGCTTCACCATGGCGTTGGACTTTGAAGCTTCCCGTCCCAATGTTACAGATCTCACCAATCGTCCACTCTACACAAGTATGAGGTAATCGAAGACACCTCCATAGAGGCGTCATATCTGGGACGTGGTGACGTTGCCATGCTACAATGAGAGTGTCTCTTTTCGGAGCATTTCCGCCTAGACCAGCATGACATGCATAGCTTGTGAGTTGCTAATGGCACTGCCTTGTAGCTAATGCAAACAAGGCAAGGCAAGTAAGGTTACCTAAAACTCAGACACCCCAAAGGCTATTTTTCCTGGAAAATAAGCGGAGAGGGCAAATCAATCAAGCGGATTGAGTTTTTTGCGGGTTTGCCCAAAGCTGCTTCTACTCTATTTGCTGTGATGGCGATGCAAAAACTGAGACGCGGGAATCGATTGAGATGTCGATGACGCATGGCGGCGGGGCGCACGGGTTGTGGAGCGGCCTGTGGTGGCGGCGAACAACAATCATTGTTACATCATCCGCCGAGCTGTGGCTGGTGAGACGAGAGCAGCTGCCATGTTGCGGGCTTGTGTGGCTTGGTTCGTTTTCATAAATGCAACGGAATTCGATTTTTATGTTTTGTGTTTTGGTTAGCATGTTACGGATGCGACTCCACGGCACGGCAATTCATTTGGTGATGACGTGGGTGCGGTTGGATCTACGGCTGCGGCTCTCTTCGGAATCTTGGAATCTCGATCTTGGCGTCGATAGTGCGTTGTTGTTTTGGTATAGTTGAGCGTTCTTTTGGAAGCTTCAAAATCTCTTGGAAATGAGATTTCGTTACGAAAGGGGAATTCCTAGTACCGAATCTTATTTCTATCCTCAGACTCGGCAGATACGATACGCTCATGCCAGGAGCTAGGCAGATATTTATATATTCACGAAGGGGTAAAGCGAGATAAGCATGCTGGTAACAGTAGATTTATTTCGTAAATAACAAAGATGAAGCAGTAATAAGTAATTAAGTGCTAGCTTAGCTGGGTATAGTCATTATAAAAGTCGTCAGGAGTGGTAGATTAGGGAAGGGCCGAATAAATCATTAAGAGCAAAACCAATTTTCCGTTTTTTTGACTTCCCCTGAACATCTCAAGCTCCAACTCCAACCTCATTCTCACACCACAATAAGGCGAAGATCACTAAACGAAAGAGTACTAGTGAGGGTATCATGAATGATCGTGTGCCGTCTATGGCTATTGGCAGTGCTAATTCGTTGATAGCACTTAGACGTGGCTTCGTCGGTACCAGCGGCGGTGGCTCTGACGTTGTGCTGCATCGACTCTAGCGCGACGTCCATGGCTGGTGACCCAGTAGATTCCGAGCAGAGCAGACACGAGCCAAAGAAGAGCGGACAGGAATGTGAAGGCAATATCGGCCTTGAACTTGCCGCATTGATCTCCGGAGATGGGGTGAACGTTGTTCCAGTCGAAGACGTAGCCGCAGGAGCCATCCAGCATCTAGACAATGAATGTTAGCCTCAGAACTACGTGCCATATGCGAAAGAACACTTACATTGACCAAGAGGCCAAAGGCTGCCCACCAGCAAAGGCTGAGGATGATGTCGACTGGCCAATGGACAAAAGACCACGAGAAGGGAATAAGCCATATCAAGGCAAAGAACATGGACAATGCCGCTATCACCTCGGTATAGATGAAGCGGCCTTGGGACCAGTTGGACGCATGGCGGAACTGGTGAAGGTGCTGGCCTGTCACTCCAGCGACAATGGTAGCGAAGACGAGCTCTGCCGCTCGGAGGACAATGTTGATGATGCGATCCAACGCCATTGTTGACGATTCCTTTGTTGGTGCTTTGTTATACAAGGCTGAGACGCAAAGAGGCAGACGGACTGCTTTCTATAAAGGGAATCTGCTGAGAAGAGGAGACGTGATGGTGATGCTATGAGGCGATGGATGGTCAAAGACTGCTCAATGCGTCTGGAAGGACAAAGACGCTGCCTTTATTGATTCGCGAATGGCAGCGCTCGCCCATGGTCACTGATCAACAACACCATCTCGGTCCCATCGTCATACGTAGCACACATGACCCCGGTCGCCAGCAGGACATACGCCATTCTTCACGACCAAAAAGCCGGTTTGCCTCGTCCAACTGGAGATGGTCCCGATCACGGCATCACAAAGCCGTGGTTTGCGGCAGCGACATCGCCTGTCTAAACAGGGCAGCCGGCGTTAAGCGAAGAGTTGTCATTCATACGACCCCCCTGTATTTTGCGCCTGCCAGCCAAAAAAACCCCCCCCAAGAACTGCCCAAAATGCCCGGTATTCGCAGTGCTCTGATGGATGTCATGATTTGCAGACAGAGTCGGGCAGCGCTGCTTCAGCATCGAATGAATGAGGTCATAGTCGACCGTTGGTGTGGCCAATGGCGGGCTGTTATTCGCTGGCGCTGACATGGTGTTGCATGGATTGACACGAGCCCAACAGCGATGGTGTCGTTGCAAATTAATTAATCTGGCTGCGGTTCCCAGTTTTGCAGCTAGGCCGGGCTTTAAATCCTTCGGAAAAAAACTTGGCGTGACGTGTGAACAGCGGCTTTGAAGAGATGCATCATCATTACTTGGTGAATGGGCAAACATTTGACGAGAGATATGCCTACGGAAAAATGATGAGAGAATCCAAGAGAAAATATGACATGCCTGGGCGTCGGAGCAACATGTGCACGTACCTGCATCTGCGTCTCGTATGTACATGCGATTAACCACTCTTGCCCGAACAAGAAGCATTGGGAGCTCTGTCTATAGAACGTTCACCATGTGCTTTTCATTCATGAACATGGCGATTATATTATTTTGTAGTCTTTAAATATATACGGAGTAGCTGAGACAAGACATAACAACGAGCTATGGTCGTATCGGCCGCTTTCATGACAGCGGCTCTTTGTGAAAGCTCATTGACGAGCGATTCTATGCTGACTTTGTGTTCCGGTTCTCACATGTACATTGTTGTTCAACTAAAAGAACCTCAATGGGCCTTCAATTCAAAGGAGAGCTTCTTCAAATATGTCGGCATGAGATGGCGTCGACAGAGCGTTCATAACCCATGGCAGTGCAATGCAGCTACAGGCAGGAAACAACAATGCAAAGAAAGCTGCACATAACAAGAGAGATGAGCCCGAGTCTCATCTTAGTCTCAGAGTAATGCCAAGAATCCGCATCAAGTGTCAGTGCATAATAAGTATGATGTTCCATCAATAGATTCATTCATTCTTGGATCAACTTGAATATCGGCAATATATGAGACTCCAAAGAGTTGGACATTATTCTACCGTGGCAACTTGCAGATAAATCATGCCGTCAGAAGATAAAAGAAGCAACGCAGTTGATGCCCAAGATGGGCCAGAAAGATTTGCACCGTGGTATCGCCTTCTACAGAAAATCAGACAGAGTGATTCTAACCAGCAACATCACGACCCGTTTATCGTACAAGAACGCTCAGATCAGAGCGAGGAAAGAGAAGCTCCGGGCTGGCTCCCGACTGATGCTGAAAAGGTATTTGTGAACAGGCTCGTCCCTAAACACGAGTATCCAGCAGTGCAGTTGCAAAATGGCATTCTCACGCCACAACTGTCCAGGCCGCCGAGGAATTTGGCATGGCTACAAGCGCGACTTCAATATGCGCGGACCGAATCCGACTGGACACTCGCAATGTGGCAGAAATACAAGGCATATCCTCATTTCAGACGCCATCGGGATCTCACCAGGGTGACCATGCGGTGTTTGTTCAGGCGATTCCCAGAGCGGTCCGGACTTGTTAGGATGTACTATCAGCGCTGGTACGACTTCCCTGAATATGCGCCCTTCGCCCAGGGCCTCGAGCAGCCTTGTCCTGGATACACCCAAGGATTCTCGTTTGAAGCCTACAGAGCCGTTGATATTGAGTGTCTAGGTTCGGCCGTGTGTTATAACAGCATCTTGTCCGGTGTTCCATCGCTTACTCTCCCTCACATGACCGGTGAGTTTGCAGTGGGAGCTTTGGAAGCCGAAGAGGCGACGGATGCGCGACATGGCGCGGCACTTGTTTACATGAGAAACGAAATTCTTTTGCACGCCAAGATTAGAAAAGACCCGGAGGATGTGGCGGCAATTGTAACTTTTATCACGGATGGACTGTCTATTCGCTTCTACGCACACTATGAATCCAAATCTCCCAGCGGCATGGTAGAATATCACCAATATCCTATTCTAGCAGTGAATTTGGTGGGGTCGTATGAAGAATTTCTTCGAGGTGTTGCCATGCTACGAAACTGTCAAGACATTGCTTTTGTTTTGGCTAGTAATCTTAAGAATGCCCTTGAACGGTACCACACAACGAACGGCATCGATGCTTGGGCTTATCATCTGGACGATGGCGATCACATACTATCAGAAAGCGAGGAGAGCGTGGTTGAAAGCATCAGTGGACAGGAAGATGAAGTCGGACAGGGAAATGAACACGTCTCTAAAAGTAACGATGACTGCAATAACAACCCGGAAAATAGCCTCAAAGTAGCTACCCAAGAAAAGGGGGATGAGGATGAGGGTGAAGGTGATGCAACTGGCACGCACAATGAGAAGAATGAAGATGACTCGCCCCCTCATATTTCTCTTCAAGCTCAACAACCCACTAGAGTGCTTAGGCCTCGAAAACAAGCACCTCAAGAAGAGAAGAAGAAGCCAAAACAAGGCTTTCGGAAACGACAAGCTAGTCAAGCCAGTCAAGCCAGTGGAGATGCAGGTAAAGAGCCTTCAAGAAAGCGTTTGAGGCCCAGGAGTTAAACCGCCCGAGCCATGAGCCACTACGTTATAACAAACAATGGCGAGAAGAAGATGAGGCAAAAAAAAAAAAGAATCGAATCTCAACAGACAGTCTCTGCTTGCTGAGAGAACATATACCTGAGAAGAGACGAGAAAAAAATGACACCTGAGGGATTCGAACCCTCGCCTATTTCTAGACCGCGAATAGATTGTTCGAATTCTAGACTCGAACAGGACCTGAACACGGCGCCTTAGACCACTCGGCCAAAGTGCCTTGAGATGATTGGATGATAGATAGAGCCAAATTTCACTATGTGAGCTGTGCGAAACACCAGCTAGACACCAAGAGCTGATTGTTGTAGGCCGTTTTACGGAGATGGGGAAATGGGGCGGCGTTGCGATGCCGTAGCCACAAGTGTACTTTTGATAGCAGTAATAATGCATAATAGCAAGTTGATGGCATTTTTCCTTTCCTGAGTTAACCTGCGCTGTGCCATTTCCCGTATGTAGCTTGCAGATGCGGTAATCAGTTAAAGTTGTCCAGCCAAATATAAGACAAATCATTGATGATGCCTGTACAGCAATACTTCCGTATTTCCACAGGTCTCATTTTCGGCGGCCCACGGAGGCGGAACCCCGCCGCCTATAGCAGCAACTGCGCAGAGCTCTCCACACCCCGCCATCCAAACGGGTGCGGCAATCATCGCATCACGCATTTAGCAGTGTCGGTTATGAGATATTTGCTCACTAAGCAGCTTTGAAGTGAGATTAGATAAAAGTAAAATTATGGTATAAAAGAGATTCACTCAGACTGATCCTACTTCACTAAGTCTATGGTCTGCATCTGAGAAAGCCCCTCCTCCGTGATACCCCTCCAAACACTCCACTCATCCGCTCCATAGTATAGCCTCGTCTTCGTCACTGCCACAACTCACTTGCTGCTACCATGGCGGATAATACGTCCAAGGAGCGTGGCATCCGTATAGCCATCGATCGAGGCGGCACCTTTACTGACTGCGTTGGCGAGCACAATGGCGAAGAGATCATCATCAAGCTCCTCTCCGAGGACCCGGCCAACTACAAAGATGCGCCTCTCGAGGGCATCCGGCGCATCATGAGCCATTTCCTCAAGCGGGAGATCCCCCGCGGCGAACCTTTGGATACCTCTCAGATCGATTCCATCCGCATGGGCACCACGGTGGCGACGAATGCCCTGCTGGAGAGGAAAGGCGAGAAGATTGCCATGGTGGTTACAAAGGGCTTTCGGGACTGTTTGACGATTGGGAACCAGTCGAGGCCCAAGATATTCGATTTGGCTATTCGGAAGCCAGATGTCTTGTATGAGCAGGTCGTGGAGATTGACGAGCGTGTCACGTTGGAGGACTACGCTGAGGATCCGGAGAGGACAACCACAGAGGCTGATGCCCAGGCGGGCACCAAGGAGGCCGAGGGCAAAGATCTTGTCAGGGGTCTATCGGGCGAGACGGTCAGAGTGCTGAGACGCCCTGGGCACAGCGACATCAGGAAAAAGTTGCAGGAGGTGTACGATTCGGGAATCCGCAGCATAGCCGTTTGTCTCATGCACGGATACACATTCCCTGACCACGAGGCCCTGATAGGCAGGATTGCCAAGGAGATTGGTTTCCAACACATCTCGCTTAGCCACGAGCTGATGCCCATGGTCAAACTGGTGCCACGGGCAACATCAGTGTGTGCAGATGCCTACTTGACGCCGGCTATTAGAAAGTATATAGACGGCTTCCAGGCCGGCTTTGAAGGAGGGTTGGGCACAGAGAGCGTCAAACATGAGAAGGGGGCCAGGGGCGCCAGATGCGAGTTTATGCAAAGCGATGGTGGTCTCGTCGATGTCGACAAATTTACCGGCCTCAAGGCCATCTTGTCTGGCCCCGCGGGAGGTGTGGTTGGATATGCCATCACATCTTATGATGAGGAGACTAAGATCCCCGTCATTGGATTCGACATGGTAAGGAAGAAATCCTTTCCTGCAATCCAATAATGAAATTCTGACGATGAACCTTTAGGGAGGCACAAGCACAGATGTATCTCGTTATGGAGAGGGCCGATATGAGCACGTCTTCGAAACAACCACTGCGGGCGTCACCATCCAGTCACCTCAGCTGGACATCAACACCGTCGCTGCTGGCGGCGGCTCTCGTCTCTTCTTCCGCAACGGATTATTTGTTGTGGGACCTGAGTCTGCTGGCGCACACCCTGGTCCTGCGTGTTATCGAAAGGGCGGTCCTGCGACTGTCACGGATGCCAACCTGTATCTGGGCCGTCTCCTGCCGGAATTCTTCCCCAAGATCTTTGGCAAAAATGAAGATGAGGGACTGGATCTGGAAGCGAGCAGAAAAGTATTGCAGCAACTGACGGACCAGGTGAACCGGGAAACGGGAAAGAAGCTATCTGTAGATGAGGTCGCTTTTGGATTCCTGACTGTCGCAAACGAAACCATGACAAGACCTATTCGATCCATAACCGAAGCAAAGGGCCACGACACCTCTAAGCATCGACTGGCGACCTTTGGTGGTGCCGGTGGTCAGCACGCCGTCGCCATTGCAGAATCTCTCGGCGTTAGCCAAATACTCGTACACCGGTATTCATCAGTTCTATCGGCTTACGGCATGGCTCTTGCAGACGTTGTAGACGAGCGACAGGAGCCAGACTCATCCGTTTGGAAAGACGATGGGAAAGTAGTTGGCGAGCTGCAAGCCAAGATGGAGAAGCTAAAGGACAAGTCGCGAGCTGCTCTAAACGAACAAGGTTTTGACGAGAGCGAGATTGTGTTTGAAGAATATCTCAATCTACGATACCGCGGAACGGAATCGGCGCTGATGATCATCAAGCCCAGCAAAGAAGAAGCAAAGGCCAGTTTTGACGGCAAAGACTGGGAATTTGGCAAAGCATTCGTCAAGCAGCATAGGTACGAATTCGGCTTCACGCTGGATGATCGGGATATCATTGTAGACGACGTAAGAGTCCGTGGCATCGGAAAGAGCTTCCGCCACCAGGAGAAATCTGTGGACCAGCAACTCAAGACAATCAAACGCCAAGAAGCTTCCGCAAAGTCGCAACACGGCGAGCAAGAGGTATACTTTGAGGGTGGTAGAGTCAAGACTCCGGTATACAAGCTCAAAGACCTGAGTGAAGGCGATGTCGTAAACGGACCAGCTATGCTGGCAGACGGTACACAAACAATCGTCGTAACACCGCGGACTAAAGCGCTCATTACCGGAACACATGTCGTGCTGGATATTGCAAAGGAGGGTGCTAAAGATGAGTATGTCGAGATATATCCCCCCGTTGTCCCTTCTATTTAGACTCTGCAAAAGTACTGATTAATCATGCAGGTCTCACCACACCGTCGAAGGTGATCGCGAGGTCGATCCCATCATGCTCAGCATCTTTGGCCACAGATTCATGGCCATTGCTGAACAAATGGGCCGCGCGCTCCAGAAAACAAGTGTCAGCACAAATGTCAAAGAAAGACTCGACTTCTCCTGCGCCATATTCGATGCCTCGGGCAACTTGGTAGCCAACGCGCCGCATCTCCCAGTTCACCTTGGATCTATGTCCCACTTGGTCCGTCGGCAGGCCGAGATCTGGAAGGGCCGCTTGGAGAAGGGCGATGTCATCATTTCGAACCACCCCTCATACGGAGGCACCCATCTTCCCGACGTGACGCTGGTGATGCCCGCCTTTGATGCCAAGGGCGAGAACATTCTCTTCTACGCGGCATCCCGAGCCCACCACGCCGACATTGGGGGGATCAGCGCTGGTAGTATGCCACCCCATTCTCGCGAGCTGTTCCAAGAGGGTGCTTCCATCATGAGCGAAAAGCTAGTTAGTGGCGGCAAGTTCGATGAGCAGCGAGTCGTCGAGCTGTTCTACAATGAGCCAGCCCAATATCCCGAATGCAGTGGCACGCGATGCCTTGCTGATAACATCAACGACTTGAAGGCTCAAGTGAGCGCCAACAACAAGGGAATTTCTCTCATTGAGACTTTGATTGAGGAATACGGTGAAGAGACCGTTCAGTTTTACATGGTCAATATACAGAAAAACGCCGAGCTCTGCGTGCGTCGACTTCTCAAAGAGGTTCACAAGCGGTTTGAAGGCAAAGAGCTATCTGCCATTGACCACATGGATGATGGAACCCCCATTCAGCTCAAGGTCACCATTGACCCAGAAGCAGGCGAAGCGGAATTCGACTTTAATGGAACTGGCCCCGAAGTATACGGCAATATCAACGCTCCCGAGGCAATTACTTATAGCGCCATCATCTATTGTCTACGCTGTCTCATCTCCGAGGACATCCCCTTGAACCAGGGCTGTCTGAAGCCAGTTCATGTCAAGATTCCACCCAAGTCCCTGCTTTCACCGTCTGCTGGCGCTGCGGTCGTGGGTGGTAACGTTCTTACCAGCCAACGGATCACTGACGTTGTTTTCAAAGCTTTCCAGGCTTGCGCCGCCAGTCAGGGATGTTGTAACAACCTCACTTTCGGCTTTGGTGGAAACCAATCCGGTAAAGCAGCTGTCAAGGGCTTTGGCTACTATGAGACTATTGCCGGTGGCAGCGGTGCCGGGCCAGATTGGGTTGGGACAAGTGGCGTACACGTCCATATGACCAACACGAGGATCACAGACTCCGAAATCTTTGAACGAAGATACCCGGTTCTCCTCCGGGAATTTTCCATTCGGAAGGGCTCAGGAGGCGATGGTCAGCACCGTGGTGGCGATGGTGTTATTCGGGATATTGAATTCCGCATACCCCTGCAAGTGTCCATCCTCAGCGAGAGGCGCGTGTATCATCCATATGGCCTCAACGGTGGCGAGGATGGCGACTGTGGATTGAACCTCTGGGTCAGAAGAATAGAAAAGACGACCTGGGAGCAGTCTCTCAAGAAACTTGACGGAAAAGAAGATGCAGAGCAGATCGAATATGAAGAGCGGCATATCAACCTAGGAGCTAAGAATTCAGCTGCTATGAAAGCAGGGGAGCGCATTATCATATGCACTCCGGGAGGTGGAGGATGGGGTAAGCCAGGCAAAGAGAGCAAGGAGAGAAAGAGGACGGACTTCACCGAGAGCTGGAGAAAAGGTAGCGGCGCAGCTAGAGAAGAGGCTGCCCTACAAGCCTAAGACTTTCTGTAAAGTAGACAAATAGAGGAAGAAGCCAGGGCAAGCAATAGTATTACTACTCACTATGCCTCACAAGGAAGATGATCTCCCAGAGTAAGCTGAACTGAGTTCTTTAAAGGATTCGTAGGAGCACACGTTTTGTGCCCTCGTCTGGTAAGCAGTACTGCTAAAAACTATTCAGAAATGTCAATTCGTGAAAGTCCCAGATCCACTCCAGGAGTACGTCGACCAACGCTTCTCGATACAGGGTTACATCAGCTGCTTACGCCGCAGGTTTTTGATATGGTGCTGTTGGGCCGGAATTCTTTAGCAAACCAACAGTTAGCCAGTAAAATGGTGTTTTTTTCAGCTTCAGCCCTACAGCTCAGACTGCCGATCTCCGCTGTGCCGTGGTTGCATCCTTGGCCCCCAAATCCTTCCAAAGCGTAGCTACTGCAGTAGGCAGCATACTACATGTCTTTTACCGGCCTATGCTAGAACTTATGTGACCTTGCATACCACTCTCTCGCCAATTACAAGGCGTACCATGGCTAGGGAGAAGGCTCCGCCATAGTGTCTGGGTAGGATCGGTGATCGATTCACGATGCCTCAAGGCGGGCGCTTTGCCATAAGGCTTAGTACCCCGTGGAAAGATCCGGGCCGCCATAGGTTTTATTTTAGCCCCACAGCTACTCCAAGAGACCCATCAACGTGTATGTATGTATTCCAGCACTTGGGATCTTTTAAAGAACATGTCGTAGTGTTTTTGTTTCTCTGTTTCTGATGTATAAATTGGAGGTTGAAAGAATAAAGGGTCTCTCTCTCTTTTTTTTTTTTTTTTTTTTTNTTTTTTTTTTTTTTTTTTTTTTGCGCCAATCGATTCTGTGCTGTCGACAAAGCAGCATTTTCCATTTGGCGTGCCTATTGCGCTAAATGGCAGCGGCATTAATGTCCAAACGCATTTGATATCTCAACTCCATTATTATAGATGGGTCCCTGCTGCTACTAGCAGTAGCACTCCGCAGCAGAAGTATAGCGAGCACATGCGAAGCGCGAAGAACTCGGAGAGTGATCGTGGGAGGAGCGGAAACATAGCATGTACACACACGTACTGACCGGGTACCCTCTTTGTCTCGGCTAAATTCGCAGATTCGCTTCGTCCCCTTGTTAGATTACACGAATCTACCTCCGCTTCTGCATAGTTTGGCAAGCTTAAGCGGCTTTAGATGCATTTCCTAGCAGCAGCGTTATGGCATCATGCTCTCTGATAGGAGGTTCCAGTGAATTCGACGCTAAGCTTTGGGGATAATCCGAGGCTCTTTGGCGTCTTGTGATACAGACTGCGGCTTACCATCGCGGCACATTTGGCTCTGTCTTAATTTCCTTGTCTTTTTGCCTTTCCCCCCTTTCCCATTGAGGTGTTCAGATCCTTGCCTGATTTTGCAGTCAAATCCAGGAACCTAGTCCTAACAGAGTTTTGGTTGCATGGATGATAGACAGCCTGTTTAGGTTTCTAGTGTATACCAGCTGACCAAGAAAATCGACATGGCCATGTTTACACAAAAACCACTACTCCTCCAATGGGCTCGGCTCGCAGCGAAATGTCCGCCGTACCACGAAAATCTTCCTCGCCGGCGGCTGGATGCTTGTCTGATAGAAGCGAACAGTCCGGCACTCTATGCCGAAACAGTGTCTAGTCCTCTGCCGCGTTGATGTTTCTGAGCGCTTTGCCCCTTTCTGTGGGATCTCCCGAGTATCCCACTTTTTATCGGTGAGGCGATCAGTGGTTTTAAGCTCCACCAAGACGGATCAGTTCGTTTATCCCCCCACCGCAAGATACCGCGATGCGGCATCGTCGCCCATCTGCACCTCAACCGAGGCGCCAAAAATGTTATGCCCTGGTATCACCTGCTTCGCAGACAGCCATTCTGTAAACAAAGATGCGCCATACTCGGGCCTTTCCGGTCCAAGGTTCATACAATATGCACAAATATGCACGTAATAAGGAACCGTCTCATCCTAGCTGCGGCTACTGCCTCTGCTGCCCTAGCTAGGCACGCACGCATAGTGTGGCCCGCGCAGCGGCATAAGTGAATGAAAAGTGCATCCCGACGCAGGAGAGAAAAAAAAAAGGCCAGGCTCGCCCACGGCACCTCGTCCCCCCTCATTCCCTCCCTTCGTTGGGTCTCTGATGACTACGGTATAAGAAATAAAGTCGGATAGTGTGCCATATTCTGCGCAATTCCGGGTTGTCATCACATATGTCTGTGCCCTTTTCCCGCGGCAGGCCAAGACGTCTGTCCATTCGTCCCTCTGTCGCATATGCACGGCAATTGCAGCATGGTGTGTATGGGCAAATGTAACCCAATGTCGCGGAAAATTGAGGCCCCAGTTTGGTATTTATACGCACATGAACCGCACACTATCCTGCGACATCATTAAAACAATACCACTGCCATCGTGGAATCAGAGCAAAAAAAAAATACGCTACACAATCACGCCTAGCGAGAGTGCGAAAACACAGAGGACAGCGGCCTGCATTGGCTGCGAAACGGTAACATCATGATGCGGATTGCAGTCGCCGGCGGAAGGGGCTTCGGGTTTCTGCTGGCGACAGAATTAGCACAGGCGGCGAATGCGTACAACGTTGTTGTTCTATCAAGATCTGTTGGGTTTTCCACGCCACATTTCCATGGAGCTCGGGGATTTTGCGTGTTAACCCTGCGATGTAGGCAAGGCCCGAATTCGACCAGTTCGACGTCCAAGTTCATGTCGTAGACTACCACGACCACAACAGCCTAGGTTATGCGCTCCAAGGGGTCGATCTCGTCATATCAACGATATCCGGCACCGAACAGCTGAATCTCATCGATGCTTCCGGGCGCGGGCGCGTCCGCATGTTTGTCCCCTCAGAATTCGAAGGGCCCCTTAGCCGACGGCCCTCACGGAACGATCCCCTAGATCGCGGATCCTCGCAAGCGCTTGCTCTGCTAAAGCAGTGGTCTGAATCGTCACGAATGAAATACACCATTTTTTCATGCGGCCTCTTTATGGAGCGGTTCCATCCTTACGGCATTATCAATACCTTCGGTATCGGCCATGGCTCTGGCGTGGGCGGTCCTGGAGAATTCCTCGTCAACTCTACCACAGCCACGGCCGAGTATCCGGAACAGGACTCCAAGGGGCATTCGGTACGTGTCTGCCTCACATCGGTGTACGACGTGGTTCGATACATTGTAGCAGCTGTTGACCTGGGGCCCTCGCATTGGCCCCGTGAGTTTACTATGTACGGGGACCGGATGAAAGTCCGAGACCTCATCACCACATACAGCACCGCTTGCAATGGTTAGTTAGTCATGGCACAGCCCACAATCTCAAACTTCGTGGGATACCCATGCCAAAGACCCTGGCAGGTGACACAAAAAGCTAATGCACATGTTGTTAGCGGTGTTTACACGACATGTACAGCAGCCCGCAGAACTAGAAGCCTTGCTCACCTACTATGCTCAACTGTGCGACTATGACAAGGTGGCATACTATCAGAGGCTCCTTGCGACGGCCAACGGGCGGTACGATTTCTCACAGGCGACACTAAACGAAGCCGTCAATCGTAGCAATAGCGTCAACGTCCAGCCAGTGACATTCGGCGCCTGGCTGACGAGCATATGGCAAGCGTTTTAGCGGGAAGCCATAGCACGGATTTTTCTCTCTTTCTTGTCTTTTTGGGGGCGGAGGCTTTTTTTGTTTTTATTGGCATGAAAACGACGTGGATTGGAGCCGGCGTTGCGTCAGGCTTTGGTTCCTTTTGCATCCCTGGAGGGGAAAACAAACAAAATCGTCCATGGTATAGTCTTGATATTGGGCCAACGAGCTGGAATGATATAAAAGCGTCAGATGCCTGCGTTTATCGAGCACTTGCTCGCAGCGGCTTGTAACTAATAGATACGAGTGTCCCTCGAGCCTCTTCTGTCACACAAAGAGTAGTAGCGATATGGGGGGCAGTTGGAAATAGCATGATACCCAGCACCAATCTCCGCAGACTGCGGCCCCAAGTAATCTTGGGAGGCGGCCAGGCCAGACCGTGCACTCGTACAGTACGCAGGCAGCCAGGTTGGCATCTCGTCTGATTTGTCTGTCGTCCCCGATGTCTCAGACTCGCAACCAATTCCATCAGGGCGTGGGCGTAAGCGCTCACCAGTGCCATCGTTAGTCGAATCCGCAGAGAGCGTTGCATGCTGGCAGCAAGTCATTGGCCCTCCGCCCAGTCCGCGCAAGCCACGGAAGGCTGGAAGCGACGCAGTCTCACCCATGTCTTGGAGGACAGTCGAATTGTGAAAGAAAGGTTTTTGGGAGAATTGAAGGGGGAATTACGAAGTGCCTGGAAGCGAAGTTTTTCTACGAGGGCAGCTGACAAGCGAGCTGAAAAAAGGCCCTGGCAAGTAGTCGCGTTAGCACCGAGTCCGGCAGGGGCCATCGCGTGTACCTGCCGTAGGTGGCTGCTGTTTAAGGCCCTTTAGGGAGCGTCTACCTACGAAATATGGGAATGTCCTTGCATGCACCGCTCTTTGGGCGCTGGTCTAGCGCTTGTGCGTGTCAGCTCCAGGTCCCCACAGCGGTCTTGGCCAGCGATGCCACAGGGGACTTAGCGGTGGCGGCGGCTATCGGGTGCTCTGGTGGGTTTAGCTGATTTGATGTCGCGCTTGAGGGGATCGCGATGCTTCAACCCTTACTTGGTACGGAGCGGTGGATGAAGAAAGCCATCAGTTGATGAGAAGCTAGATACTTGGAATTCAAATGGATACGATTCTGGTATTTTTATAGCACCTCGATGTACTACTGATCAGCTGTGAGCGGCTTTGTGCCTGCATGGCCCAACAGCACCACTCTGTTCCTGTGCCATTACGCTGGAGGAGTTGGGTGAAGAAGTGAGAAAAGAGAGAGGGAAAAAAAAAAAAAAAAAAAAAAAAAAAAACCAAAAAACCATCGTCAATTAACAGCAACTCAGGCCCCCTTTTTAGTATATTCTTTTCAGATACTACTGGACAACTTTATATATTTTCTCCAGGGTCAAACTCCTCGCCAAACTCAGTCACAATCCAGAGACAAAATTTCTCCCACTCCACCTGCCACTCCTTCAGCCGCTCTGCCTTGATGCCGCTGCCGAGACTGGCCTCCTTTATTCCCTTTGCCCACTCCTCCTGGTTCTGATCCTCAAAGGTTGACCACCGAATGCTATTTTCCGCCAGGCTCCCTAGACCAGCCAGGCCTAGATTGCCCCAGCCTTGAAGAGCTTGCCAGAAGTCGTGCGACATACCGGCGGTGTCCTGGCCCAGCATCGCCGGGTCGTCGTTGCAGAGACTGCATGCAACGCCGCGAGCAAGAAGGGCGGGCAAGGGGTGGGCGGTGACGGATCCGCAGAGACGAAGGACTTCGTTTGAGATGGGGCACGATTCGATGAGGATGCGCTTGTCCTTGACCATGTCGATGAGCAGAGGGTGCTTGTATAAGCTGAAGCCGTGGCCGATTCGGCGAGTGCCGAGCAGGATGGCGTCAAACAGGTTGTTGTCCGTGCTGGATCCGTCCCCGAGCGTCTCGCCGGCGTGGAAATAAAAGGGCAGGTTGACACCCTCCTGCGCACACTGCTTTCGGAACCAGAAGAGCTCAGGCAGCAGGTCGGTCAGTGGCTTGCCGAGGTCTTCGGGCCCCACGAGGTCGTAGCCCGCAATGAGCTGGGGAAACTCCATCTTGGTCGTGATGCAGTGGTCCATGTTCTCGACTATACGGCGCGTCTCGAAACTACGGAGCGTCGTCCAGATCAAGGCGAGCCCCCAGAAGCCTTTGCCCTCCTCTGTGGCCTTGAACTTGGCGACTTCCTCCTCGATGACCTTGCACATGTGGCTGTAGTCCTTTTCCGGCTCTTCACAGCGGTCACGGCAATAATCCAGCGGCCATGTGAAACTACTTTGATTAGTCCTTTGTCATATATATAGAACAGAATGAAAGACATGTATGTTTGAGATGAAAGGGGAGAGCGGAGAGGACACTCATACCGAAGCTCAGCCCAGTTGACTCCATCTGCTTTGAGAAGGCTCATCAAATGGCGCAAAAAGGCGCGGAACATGGGCTCGTAGTGTATCATAGTTGCCACAACAACAAAACATTTAGCAAACTTCTCCCAGATGGCGTCGATGCCGTGGTGCTGCTCATGGCTGTCGATGAGTGAAAGCGTGCAACGGCTTTTGAGCCACTTTAGAAACCCCGACCGGCCTCCCTCTGGAAACTCGTCGGCCACCTTGGTGAGCAAGATGAACGAGCCTGGTTCGTAGTTTTCGTCCCATATGGATCCGCTTACAAGCTCCTTGGCCCTGAACCTGAATCGGAAGATGGCATTCTCCCTCGCCTGGTGAGTTTTTAAAGACACGTCGCTGGACATGTGCATCCCCGGCGTCTTGAGAAGCTGGTCCAGAATAAAGTCAAAGTCAACCATGGCGTCCATGTGGGCGTGCAGCAGACACCCCTTGGGCATGCGGCGCACAATCTTCCACAGCTTGGTCTGCTCCATGCGGTCCTTGGCCAGCATGAACATCATGCCGGGGAAGATGCTCTGCTTGGTCTCCCGGGCCAGCTGCTCCTCGACATTGGGCGTCCAGACGGCGGCCTGCTCCTGGGCGCGGATGCGGTCGACAATGGCACAGGCGCGCCTCGCGATGGGCGTCAGGGCCTTGCGAAACGAGGCATCTGATCTGGTCTCCTTTTCCTTGCCGATGAGGCTCTCGCGGCCCGCCAGATACTGCTGCAGGAAGGGATCCGACTTGGAGGGTAGGTCTTGGGAGAGCTCCTCCCAGAGGTCATCAGGCATGGGCATCTTGTCAAGGAGTCGGGTATGATTTTTTTTAAATGCACGATACCGCTGTCTGCTGGGCTTGGTAATACAGCGATAAGAAAGTAGAAAGCGGTCTGCCCCAGAAATGCGGAGTCGTTTGGCCGTCCGGCTGTTGGCAGGCCTTATGAAGAAAAACTTCGGCGCGGAGGTCGCCAGAAAGCCGGAGACTACGAGTATTAGCTCCGGCTAGTCGGCCGGGGCCGTTGAAAGGATGCGCTTAATGCAGGCAGACGTGAGTCACGACCGAGCCATCGGTGGGCGTTTTTGGGTGCTTAATTACGTTGGGGTTGAGAACATGAGTGTAGCGCAGTGAAAACGCGTGTAAGTGTTCCGAGTTGTGTGGCGCGTTGGCTGCTGGAACTCTTTGCATGTGGTTAGGATATTCACGGCTAGACTCGCATGTGGCTGGACTTGTTAAGCTAAGTCTAGGCAAGGACAGGCACGCGTGGCGATGTCTAGCTCATCAAATTTTGACAGAAAATCAGATGCTGGATATGAGCTTTGAGAAGACGATAAAAAAGTAGAAGCCAGGAAAAAAATGAATACATGTATCTCATCACCCCATATCCATCGTATTCAGCACAAAATTACATTTGTACATACATCTACAGTATGCACATCACCTATTGATCTACATACACTCTAAGAGTATAGATCTATATGCAAGAAACCAAGCTTATGGAATGCTCTTGTCACAAAATAATCGACGGGATAAGTGGCCTGGTTGGTCAGCCGATTCTTCAGCTTATGCAGGTTCCTTGATTCCACAACTCATGGTGACCAACAACAGTGAGGCTGCTGTCTGTGCCCGCTATTCGTCTTGTCACACCTAAACCGCTGTATCACTTTGAAATAAAACGGCGCTCGGTAGATGTCCTCATAGCTAATGCCATTGTAATTGCTATAATTCACTATAATAGATGAAACTCTCATACTGACCAGTCACCTCTCCTAGCAGCCGGTGATGGTGATCTTGCGCCCAAAAAAAGGGAGATGCGCTACTGGCTTGCTAGGCCTCCTCTCTGCGCTGATTCGCTAGTCGATCACCAGCACCAAAATCCCACTACATTCCGTTTGGGGGATATCACAGTGACCCCATAGCTAGCAGGGCGCTTATAACTCTTGTTTTCAAGCTTTCATAGCTAGTGGAGCTTCATGGCTGCCATTCAGTTTCTCGGGATGTGCGATGGTATTATGTTGGCTCCATCCAGTGAACACTGTGACAGGTGATGGTGGCTTGGTTTGCATATTCTTAGCTTCTGCTTTTGGCTACGCCTGCTAATAATTCAAATGCCCGCTTTACAAGCATGAAATGGAGCTGGTAGCAATCGATGAAGTCTTGTGGTTCAACTATAAATTCTCCAATTCTGCCCGTCACAATTTTCCAAGAACAGTTCAGCCATTACTAAAGACAGTCCAAGTATATCTCGATTATATTAGCACACTCGGTATCTCTCAGTGTATATCCAGTCCATCAATTTCTCAAATTAAAACGACACAATGCTCTCCTCAAAGCTTTTCCTCCTTCTCTTTTCCTCAATCACGTCCGCTCTCGTCATCCCTAGAGACTACGACGTCCCGGCCGGCTACTGCTGCTTCACCCTCACCGACCCTTCCACTAACAAGGTCATCCAGCAGAACAAGGAATACGGTTTCCTCTACTTGGACGCAAGCCAACCAAAGGGATGGTACTGCTTCAACCCTTCCAAATCTCAACCTATCCTTTGGGATGACTTCAACAATGCTTGCATCATTGACTGGGATGGACAGTTTCAATGTCTTGATCCTACCCCTGGCGATGACGTGTGGACGTTGGGTCACAGCGGCAGCAATAGCAGCGATCTTTTACTACTTCATAATGGCTCTCCGACATATCAGGCGTGTCCCAACCAGAGTGGAGGTGAATTCATTGCGTCTGGTGCATCTGAAGCTGGATGCAGGAATATTCAGTTGGAAGCAACAGGCCTTCAGGGAACATGCTCAAGCTTCACTGCCTGAAATCATTGGTTTGTTCGCAGCCTCACATTCATATAGAAATGTGATCCATATCGTGGCGTCTTGTCGTTTCTCTTCATCTATACTTCTTTCATGTATATTTTTATTTCGCAGCTACAGAATGCTCACCATTTAAATCATTTTAGCACTTGCAGCTTTAGATGAACAATTAAAATGTGTATATAGATACCGCTAAAGTAATACAGTCTGGCCCAGCCCTAGAATAATCCAAATAGCCTTGACCAGAAAAAAAAACGAGTTGATACCAAATTCAACTACAGCTTCGGACCAATCTCTCTAGCCACAGCTTCCGCCTCCTCGACACCATACACAATGGCCAGGTCTTTCTCCAGTTCCTCTGCTGGAGTATCTCTCGTACGCTTCTCCTTCGAAAACTTGTCATCGATGAAGCGACGGAAAATTTCCTTGCAAGCGTCATTCTGGTCGGTGGCAGCATCAACAAAGAGCAGCAAGGAAATGAGTATCTCCGCCACGTCCCATAGAATCTCTCTACCCTCACCGACCAAAGCAGCCTGGTCCCTTTCATCAATGTATGCCCGCAGGGCAGTCCACTTCCCTACAGGGTCCCATCCATAGCGCTTGACGACGGCTTCCTCATTGAATGATGACGAAGACTTGATGAAGCTTTCCAGCGCATTAAGCGATTGGGTTCCTGTTTTGGGGTGCTTCAGCGCGCGGATCATATCCGTACATAGGACGTCGGTTGTGCCCTCCCAGATGGGCAGAACACAGCAATCGCGGTAGAGTCGAGCCACATTGAGGTATTCCTGCTCTTCGTTGACGAGATAGCCCACACCGCCGAGCGATTCCATGCATGAGTAGAGCAGCGGGACGGCAGCTTTGCATACATAAGCCTTGGCAAGAGGCACAATAATACGAAGGAGCGGGTCGATATACTGAGCCGGTGGTGTGAGAGCTGCGAGAGCAGATGTCGGTGGCGTCGCTTCATGCTCAGAAATACCAAGCATGTAACCGCAATAATTACTCATGAGCATCAACCCGTGGTACTCGGCAGTCAGGTTGGCCAGGGTGCGCATGTGCAGCGTGCTCTCGGTCAGCTTCATGCGGGCACCGCGGCCAGCCCCAACTTCTCGCCGTCGCGCATATGCCCTTGCAATTCCCAATCCACGACCGACATATCCACAGGCCGTCACGGCGTTGTGAATTCGAGTGATGGTCAGAATTGTGCTAATCTCGTTGATGCCCCTGCCCTCTTCGCCAATCATCCAGCCGCGCATGTCTTCCAGGACAAGCTCGGCAGTAGGAAGTGACTGGGTGCCGAGCTTGTTCTTGAGGCGCTGGATCCAGACACCGTTGAGCCGAGTTCCGTCAGATTTGGGGTGGCCAGTCATTGTTTTGGCCTTTGGGTCGTGTCGTCGCATAGGCGCAAAAAAGGTGCTGAGCTTGTCTTTGGAAGTACGAGCCAGCAGGATGGTCATGTTCGAGTCTGTCGCGGATGAGAACCACTTGAAGCCGTGGATGCTCCACGGTCCGAGGGGGATCTTGCCTTCTTTCGAGGCGAGGGCGCCCTCGGCATCTTCGGGCTGGTAGAGAGCAATGGTCTCAGTCTGAGATACATCACTGCCGCCGGTGCGCTCCGTCATCCATTGCCCACTGGTCCAGGCTACGCTTGGGTCGCGTGAGATGAGACGGCGGTAAGCATCGTCAAAAACAATGCGCTCTGTCTCGCTGAGACGGCGAGACGCCAGATGCCTCCTTAGAAGAGCAGCGGCACCATCCTGCATTGCAGAGGGGCAAGTCACGTTTGCAGACGAGGCCTCCCACAGGTGCAGGCGCAAATACTGCAGAGGGCGAGAAAATGCGCCATAGGGGGTATCATAACCGGTGGCAACGAAGCTATTCGTTGTCGCGACAGAGGTCAGAAATCGAGGTTCCCAGGAAGGCATAGATATAATCAACTCACCCTCTAGACAGGCCAAACTTTTGCAGCTCGCGCCATCCTTCGCCAGTCACAAGCTCGCCCTGCAGTCTGCCAAAAGCATCTCGGCCGCTGCCTTTGATGTAGGGCTTGTTGTGTTCAGCATCTGTGATCCAGGCAAACACCTCGTCCGAGAGAACATCCCTGCCCAAGGCTGCGACTTCAGCCTCAACTTCGGTAATTACACTAAAGGGGAGAAACACTGCGCAGCATTCGTCAGTAACGCAATCATTGTCACGCAAGAATGCGTTTCAAGCGGCGAGCGTGCGTTGCTTGTCTTTGTTTACATTGGCTCTCACTCACAGTTGAAGCATCTGCGAAAGGAAACATCGTCATAAAACTGGTTGGGCAAAATCGGGGGAGGCTGAAAAAACCCCTTGTTTGCCCCTGAGGGCTGCATTATATCTAGAAGAATACGGAGACAGACGGCGTTGCGAGTAGATACAGGCGCAGTCAATTTATTCAATCAGCAACTCGCGCTCGACGCGAAACAAAATGGCGTGTTTGGAAATGGGATGTCGGGTTGAGCGCGGCAGCAGACAAAGAGGTGGATAGCCGGCTGTTATACGAAATCGCCCGGATTAGCGTGCAGCGGGAGGCATGAGACGCTGCAGCGAGAGTCTTTGGCGCCAGCGATTAAGATTGTCCCCAGCTTACACCTGTATAAGCTCTCAAGCTCTTGTCAGATACAAGTTGGGCTGGGCCAATCGTGAGCGGGTCGTTATTACGGCTCCCTCTCCCCAAACTAAGGTGGTGTGGAGTCACTCACAGGCGCCAGCCGAGGCTCGAGCTGAAACTCCAGATTTGATGTTGCGGATGGGACGACGCAGCTGACAGTATGGCGGAACAGTTCCGTTGTAAACGAGAGGCTTGATGTTTGGTGATGTCAAGTTGCGTTGGAAGAGGGGAAATAGGGTCCGAGTCACGGAGCAGCGTGAAGTTGTATGCAAGGTGAAAAGGTTCATTTTGGCATATGATCGGCCAGTCTTGCATGCATCTCCAAAAAGGGATCCCAGATAGAATCCTTACTTCTTTAAAGGGTCACGAAGTTCAAGACAGATTAGTCTTACACTGATAGAACTACTATCAACGACGGCGATTTAGATTCGCAAAAGCAATACCTTTCACACGACCCAGTATACTTGAGCAATCCTCAATTCAGCCCACTGGCCTCTCTTAAATCTGCTACCCTGCATCGAGCTTAATTGATCTGCAGGAACGGCAAAAACCATTGAAGATGCAAAAAGAACGTAATAAAATAGCACAAAGTGCTTCCCTACCGCTTTACAGAATATGCATCTTTTAGGTGTATCCTCTTCGCTGCTGCAGGTAGAAGAAAGCATGCCAGAACAAGGTACGCATAGCATGCAAGCGCCGTAATAGCGGCCCCCATCGTCGTGCAGCATCCCCGGATTTCCGATGGTCGGGATTCACGCTCTTCCACGGGCCCACGATCCCCCTAAACAAATATCGAACCTACAGCGTCAAAACCCATGCCATTGAACCGTTCACAACATGGCCGTCAAGTGACCCACTTGGTCCATCTGCCACAATGCGAACATCACGAATTTCAAAGGACACTGCAAAGCTGGTGAGGCGAGCCGCAGGTTCTGTCTCGCCACCGCGGCGCACGACGCGATCCTCGCTTGCGCGCTTCGCCCATAATGCGGGCGTGAATGGCGTCAAGGCGGAACAGACACCCGACATCGAAGACAGCATCAGCCCGCCGCCGCGGAAGCGCAGGAGAGGCTCCGATGCCTCTTTCTCCGCCGAATTGGCCAAGGCCGAAGCCGACTCGGACCAGGACGACAAGCTCGATGCCCTGTTGGCAGCTGCGGCCCCCCCAAAGAGCGCACGCCGTGCCCGCAAGCCCGCGCGCAGAGTCGCGGATCCGGACACCGGCGAATCGACAGTCTCCCCCCCGTCTGACTGGGAAGAGATGTACAACGTCGTGAGGAAGATGCGAGCGCCGGGTGGCGCCGCCTACGGGGCTGCGGTAGATACAATGGGCTGCGAGCGCCTGGCGGACAGGAACGCTTCGCCAAAGGACCAGCGGCTGCACTCGCTGATAGCGCTGATGCTATCTAGCCAGACAAAAGACACGGTCACGGCGGTGGTGATGCGGAAGCTGCAGACGGAACTGCCGGCGTACAAGCCCGGAGCACCGGTGGGATTGAATCTGGACAATGTGCTGGCGGTAGATCCGAATCTGCTGAACCAGATGATCTGGGCTGTTGGATTCCACAACAACAAGACCAAGTTCGTTCTACGCCTTTTCCTCTCCTTCTACTGCATCTTTTCTTTTCTTTTCTTTTTTTTTGTTTTACATGGCATTATGCTAACCTCACTCGCCTCATCGCTTAGGTACATAAAACAGACGGCAGAAATTCTCCGTGACAAATGGAACGGCGACATCCCAGACACGATAACCGGCCTGACATCTCTCCCTGGCGTCGGCCCCAAGATGGCCTACCTCTGCATGTCTGTTGCCTGGAACCGCACCGAGGGCATTGGCGTCGACGTGCACGTCCACCGCATCACCAACATGTGGGGGTGGAACAAGACCAAGAACCCGGAGGAGACGCGGCTGGCGCTGCAGTCGTGGCTGCCGCATGACCGGTGGCGCGAGATCAATAGCCTGCTCGTGGGACTGGGGCAGAGCGTGTGCTTGCCCGTGGGACGGCGGTGCGGCGATTGCGATTTGGGGTTGCAGGGGCTTTGTAAAGCGGCGGAGAGGAAGAAGGTTCTTGAGGGGAGGAAGATCAAGGGGGAGCTGATTAAGGAGGAGAAGCTGATTAAGATTGAGAAGAAGGAAGAGGAGGGAGAGGAGGGAGTGAAGAGAGAGAGTGTCGGCGCGGTTGTTGTCAAGACCGAGGCCACTATGAAACAGGAGGTCGAAGTTGAGGTCAAAGTCAAGAAAGAGGAAGAAGACTGATAAGAACTAGAAATGGACTCGCATATGGCCGTATTGGAGATAGACACATGTTCTCCGAGGAAGGAGCCCCGACTTCGCTCATCGATGAATCAACTTTAGGGCGTGGAGTTTTGCAGCTCGCCACGTAGCATGATACCACATGTAAGCATATTACTGGCCTCTCTTGTTTTTTTCTTACTGTCTTAGCACACTTTAGATGGATATATGTATAAACCTATATAGAGCCGAGTAACAAGAGCTAGACACGCATCTTAGTTTTTTTTTTTGTGATTTGTCGTATAGCCTGTGTTTGGGCCATCATTGATTTCAAGGCTCGCCATTCTTGCCCTCTTCTTGCTTCTTTGATACCCGACCCTTCATATGTATCATGTGCTTATGTTACTTTGAGATACGTATTATACATTTTACGAGTTGTTTCTGTAATATCCGCCATGTGAATGGCTAGGTAGGAGTTAGAACCACAATAATACCATACTCCATACTAGGTAATTCCCTTGTCCGCGTATTTCGGTTTTTTTTCTCTCTCTTTAATTACTCGCTGTCTTGTTGCATTCACCCCGAGCTGATTAGGCTGCGTTTCGGAGGCCGGTCGGTATTGGGCCGTCCCATCAGCCGAAATGGCCATATGCCCCGCCGGCTATATTGAGTCAAGTTGGGAGGATTGGAATCCAAACTGACTTGTCTTTGCATGATCCGGTCAAGTGTCAATGCCGAGACCCGGCAATACGACAGGGAGAAAAGCGTCATCGTTTACTGACCGTCCCCTATACAGGGCGAATCCCGCGAGACATGCCCACTTGCTTTCTGCTGATCACGCAATGGAATGATTTTCTTTGAGCATCTTGCTGGGTCTTTTAATGTCAAAATTGTTTTCAGTTTGTTTGTTTTTAACGAATTGGGTTTTCAAAATGAACTAGTAAAGATCAAACAGTAATCAATGCGGAAATGGCTCCTAATATCCCCCTAGATAAAATGCCGAATAGATGAAACATGCCTAATACTCCGTGCGATCCAAAAGCCGCAGCTGTTCCGACCAAAACAGTACACCAGTGAAATAAATGGTAGAAATATACAAAAAAGGTGCGGAGGGCACTGATAGCACCGTCTCGTCTTGCTTCACTCTCTGTCCTCAGAGTAAGACAAGAACCCCAGACTTCTCCTCGCCGTGTCAACCCCGTATCGCTCCAAATAAAGATCAGAAAGAATATTCATGTAATCGTGGTCCGTGAGTTTGAATTGGGCCGATGCAAGCGCCAAATCAAGGTATGTATAGGAGAATGTTGTGTAAAATCGAAGTGTATGAAAAACCGTAGGACATGCGGTAATTAAGTGGTCAGGTGGTTTGTTGGATGATCGTCGTTGGGAGGTTGGCAAGGGTGCATATTAGACGCCTCGGATGACCTGCGTCCTCTCAGCTTCCAGCTGGGCAGCATTGCGCGCATGGGACTGCTTCTTGCACTAATACATGTGTTAGATTCTAGTGATACCCCGAAGGGGGATACAGCAGAGCACAACTTACGTCTTCCAGGCCGCTGCACTTGTGATCTTCCAACAGACGGTGCTTGCCACAGAAGTGGCCATTGCAGAATGTGCAGTCTCCAACGATGCGCTGGGCAGCCTCTCGGCAGTCCTTGGCGTTGCAACGGAGCTTCTTAGAAGGCATGATGGGCGAGTGAGGTGAGAAAGATGTCTCTGAGGGTAGTGAATATGTAGCCGAGGCCGAATGTAGTCTGAAAAAAAGGCGGCTTCGTGTCGTGTGATGCGATGCCAACGAGTGTTCTGTCAAGGACGGTGGTTTAAATATTGGGCGAGACGCCTTCTATTAATAATAGCAAGACACAAGGGGGGGAGCCGACAGTGAGTGAGGGAGGATTGGCGTCGATGAGAATGAAAAAGGAAACCTGAACTTTGAGTCAGCGAGCTTGCGAACAGCGGATGGCGCGAGGCTTTATATGCGAATGGAGTGACGACCCAAGCGCAGGCCAGCAAGGGGGAAACGACAAGACAAGAGGATTCCCAAGTCATTCAGCGAGCGAGGCGCCACTCACACCCGGTGGTCCGGTGGAGTCTACGTCGCCGCTCCAAGTCCCAGCCAGCCCCGGGGGTGTGTGAATTTGCCTCCCGGACGGATCGCCCCTCTCAGTGGCTTTAGAAGAGAAAAGAAGGACGAGCGAGACTCGGGTGGAATCTCTTCTCTCTCAGCTTCTTCTCCTTTTAAGAGGGGGGTGCGAGCATAGTAAGTTGAAACGGGGAATGGGGGCGCCATTGCCTGATCCGGTGCTCTTTTTGAGGTTTGGCATTTTCCGGCTCTTGTCTGTTCTCTCTGCTTCTTTGTCTGTTTTTTTGAAACGTACCTGATTTGAAGTTTTGAAATTGAGTGCAGGTGGAAGCGGGAAATGAATTAATTCCCACTTGTATGATCAGAATGAAGCAATGGTCACCTCGGCTATATCACGAGTATGCGTGATCAGTTTATACCGCCGTGCCTAGACAATAGTAGAGAACAGCCGCACCGGGGTGCAAGTACAAGCCAGGCAAGGGTCTCTCTTTTTGGTGGCGGGGCCCGTCTGGACTTGCGGCCGGGACTGGAGGGAGCAGCTGAACGCAAGCAAAGCAGCGGCTGGGTAGGTATTTTGAAAGCAAGACGCCCTAGACGTACATGTGCGTGTTGTGAGTTGCGGTGACACTGGAAAAGAAGAAAAGAAGGGACTTGAGATGCGGCCGTTTGGGCCTCTTTATCTGTGGCCCCCTTGTGTTCGAGTGAACCACTCACTGGGCAGCCAGACAAGAGATACGAAGGCGAGACGCATTGTCCCATCATTTCCGATTTCCAATCAAAGCCCGCAAGATGCCAGAGCGGCCATTGATAGCGAATTAGTCGGTACTAACCTGATGGGACTGGGTACGGATACGAAAAGTCGCAGTACAACCGTTGGCCTGTGACCCTTATTGCTTGGTCTGGCCTTGGTCTGGTTTTCCCTTCCCGGGGGGCTGGGGCCTAGTACAGTAGAGTGACTGTGCTTGCAAGTGTTGCACTATTGACCCTTCTCCGAAAGCGGTGTCGGCCTTGCGTAGCGGGCGTGACGTGATGTCGGTCGTAGTGTGTATTCTAATGCTGACTGAGGGTTGTATTCACTCTGGGAGGCCAGATTTGGATTTGAGCTGGACGAGACGAGAGCGAGGAAGAAGAGGGAGAAGGGAAAAGAGGTAGACGTAGCATTGGTCAATGGGACCGGGATCACAAGCTGCAGTCACTGAATGAAATCCGCCTTATACCGCAGCATGATGCAAGAAACCCCCTCCCCCTAAAATCAATAAAACGTGGTATTGACGATAGAACGATAGCTTGATTGCCAAGAACAGTTTACTACTACTACCCAGAACTGCGACTACTGCCGGGAGCATCAACACCATCATGACTTGATCACTGCCTTATCTCTGCCCGTGGTTGTATTGCTACTTGATCCTCCATGGCTCGTCGCCCATAGTCCCGGCGTTTGCACCGGTTGGGCACCACTCACCTCGTCTTTGGGTCGCCATCTCGCAACAACGTGATCACACCTTATTTTCTCCCGCTCATCGCCCATCGCTTAAAGCCCCCCTCTAGATCCCAAATCCCATGCTAATAAGCGTAGCCAACGACAGTAGTCGTAGGAGTCACAGCGAATAACGCTACTCCAAGTACTACGAGCTGCTAGCGTACCTAGTCCAGAGCAGCGAACACGTAGCGGTGGATATCCCCAGGCCATGCCAACGCCAGGCCATGCCATGCCATGCCATGTCATGTACGTGTGCATGTCTATGTATGTACGAAGCAACCCCTTCGGCGGCGCGACCCAATGCATGGAGCCGTATCGATACATCGTGGGGAATCATGCGCCGCCGCAGATGCAAGGCCGCTTGCTGGGCCCCAGCAGCGACGGGGGTCCATCTTCCTATCGCGTCGGCGGGAAGCCTGACTCTTGCGATGCAGAAGCCGATGCGTGCATATCTAGTTCGGGAACAGCACAGCATCGCAGGCCGGATATCAGAGGACATCACACACGCCATGGAGCAGTTGTTACGACGGAAACAGGCCAGCGGACACGCACGACAAACAAAGCACCCGGAGAATAAGGGATTGCGGCCAATTGACATCCTGCTAGTCATTTTTTTATCCTTTCCCTGCATGGGCAACAAAAGGGCTCCACGTAAACGAAGCGCTGGGGTCGAGTTACACCAAGAAAGCTACAATGGTCGCGTGCGTATATAAGTCGCCCGTAGTATGATCCATACAGTATAAGTACATGGATGCGTGATGTCCATCTCCAGCCGCTTTCTGCCCGCCGCCGTTACATTGAGAGGCTCACAGGCAAAAAGTTCTTAAGCGCTCGCAACGCAGGATCGAATGAAATACGTCTGATTTTTTCAAAAAACGGATGGTCTAGGCGGAAGCGAGATCGACTGTTCTCCAGCCCGTTTCACCTCAGGCGCCGGAAGCTCCCAGAGCCGGAAACAACCCCCCTTCGAATGGCGAGACGTAAGACATGACTTGCCAGACCGTCATGCGCTCGGCGGCTGAAAAAGCGCGCGCGCGCAAAAGATCAGTCAGTTTCTGTCAGCCTGCTTGCTGCTTTCTCGCTAGTATGAGGTAGCTCTGCTAAAAAAGATGGCATGTACAAAGTACACGTAGGGAGTGTTCCGGGTAAATCCTCTACTCGCCTAGCACAGCTACTTATACGTAGATACCTACATACCAATACCGGTACTCTTATCGTATTACATTGCTTCTCATCATACAAAGGAGCTCCCAACGGTAGGTAGCATCAGATGGTATCGAGTGTAATTAAGTATGTATGTACCTGCTTGGTTCGCCTGGTGGAGTTTTACTGGCTGTGACGTAGCCGCTGCAAGTCCTTGGACCAGGCTCCCCCGACCGCTTTCTAGGCTGACAGCGCTGACGACTCTCAAGTAAAATGAGCGTCTTTGGCCCCTTGGTACTTTGTACCTCGAGCAGCAATAGACAGGTCACAAGTACTGCTGAGTGCAAAATATTACTGCCAGATACTACTTCTTAAATAGCTGTCTCACGGCGTACTTTGTACTAGTATAAAGGGATCTTCAAAGCCAGACAGGCTCAACACCAAGCAAGCAGGGCGCAAAAGAGGTCGATGAGCGCTGGCATCAATGCTTTTGCTTTTTAATGGAGCACGCTTCACTGCAGGGAGCGCATAGGACCCTGGATAATCAAATCATACCTTGCGACCAACGCATCCTTTCTGTGAGCATGATTGTCAAGCAGCCAAATCCGTAGCGCAGGAAATAATGTATGGGTAAATAATCCAACAGCTAATACGGAGAGTAATTACTGTCGTCGATATTACCTACTTTGTAGTGCATTCTTGCGTATACGGATGGTCACAAATAGTAAAAACTTCCCATACATCTGCACGCGGTGCGATTCGGTTTCATCTTTCTCACCATGTAAATCGCCGCTTTTGGCAATTCTGTCCATTGCGCTTTCCGGAATTATCTCTTGCCTGTTCTCGCTGCCGGCCGGATCCGCCTCCGGCGCAACGTCCGAAATCAGCACCGCTCAGCATTCCGAGCTTGTCGCTCGTGGTGGTGTGTCTGCCCCAATGGGAACTGCCGAGTTTTGTACGAAATGCCGGCCAAATTTACTGTGCTTTAGGTGAGGCCATTGAGCATGGTGGCAGTGACAGCCATGTCGTCATCCCGAGATCCGCTCTCTCGTTCAGTCAAACCGGAGCTCACGCCTCTCGGGATGAGCGAAAGCAAGACTAACTGCGGAAAATTTTTAGAATTCTGTAAGAATGACTTGATCGTCACAGGTTTATGATTATCACTAATCTGTGCTAGTTCTTGGCCCATTACTAAGCGCGATGATAGTTCTCTAGCTGTAAGAGCCACCATCTAGGCTCATAGGAGGCAGAGCTGTAATAAGAGTCACCCAAAACTAGCACGGTTTCGCATTTCGTTTATCACTACAATCTTCTACTTCCTTCAAGATATCTATCGCAACTGGTAGCTATTTTCTCTAGTAAGAGGTTTCCACATTTATTATAAGCTGTAACTATTTTCTCGCGTATATCATCACTATACCTCTCACCAAAGACGAAGGTACCTACCTACTAGGTATATAGAGACATCTCTACGTGCCCCCTACGTACCTTTGCGCCGTATGTATCACACGTTTATATCTTTTATGTTTACATACATGTATTTACCATTTCCCTCTCCTTGTTTATGAACGTTGTAGTCTATCTGTTTTATCTGCCGCTTAATATATGTAGGTAGTGGAAGGCAAGTCGGTGAACCTTTTGCTCATATAAGTCAATTCAAAAAGGAGAGAGATATATCATTACAGCTTACGTAATATAGTGGTAGTATAACAGTTTGTGGTTGATTTCAACTCACTGTCGGCCCAGGTTCGATTCCTGGCGTGAGCATTTAATAAAGAATTTTTATTTTTGCTGTTTTAGTAGTGGATTCCTATCTCGCTATTTTTCTTCAATTCAATATTAGCTCCTCGGTCAAGCTGCAATCATGGCCGCATCTGTGTTTCCAATTGCTGCAGTAACATAAAATAGTGTCGCTCTATTATTATTCTTTACTTTTATATTTGCTCCTTAGTTAGAAAGTAGCTGGACTGTATCTTTACATCCATTCTATACTGCATTGTGAAGGGGTGCAATACCAGTGCTTTTGTATGTATGTGTATGTATACTTTAGTTGCCACAACTTAAACTCTGGCAGACCCTTCCAACCACTGAGGCAGCAGTGGTTAAGACCTTTCTGGTACGGTCTTGCGTTTTCGGCATTATTTGTAGCATTTGAGCACCTGGACTACAGCCAAATGTTTCCCCTTTTCTGCCTGGCGAAGCGGTGTTATGCCATTATTCTTCTTGGCTTCAATGTTAGCCCCTTGGTCAAGGAGCAGCCTGGCTACTTCTGGCTGTCCGTGTCGTGCAGCCGAATGAAGTGCTGTTTCACTAGTATTATCTTTAGCTTCAATATCAGCTCCTCGGTTAAGAAGCAATTTCGCTGCATCTGCATTTCCAAGCCAAGCTGTAACATGAAGTGCTGTTTCATTATCATCACCCTTAGCTTCAATATTGGCTCCTTGGTCAAGAAGTAATTTGGCTACATCTGCTTTTCCATTAAGAGTCGTAAGGTGATGTCGTGTATTCTCCTTATTAGCTTTCATATTGGATCTTTGGTCAAGAAGCCAGTTGGCCGCATCTGTATTTCCACACAGAGCTGCATAATAAAGTGGTGTATGACCAGTATTCTGCTTTGCTTCAATATTGGCTCCTCGGGCAAGAAGTAGTTTGGTTACATCTGCGTTTCCGAATAAAGCTGCCACATGAAGTGGTGTTTCATCCTCATTATTTCTCAGTTCAATATTAGCTCCTCGGTTAAGAAGCAATTTGGCCACATCTACTTTTCCACACAAAGGCGCAAAATGAAGTGGTGTATCACCATCATTATCTTTTGCTTTAATGTTGGCTCCTTGGTTAAGAAGTAATTTAGCTACATTTGCTTTTCTATACTAAACCGCAAAATGAAATGGTGTATCACCATTGTTATCCTTTACTTCTATGTTTGCTCCTTGGTTAAGAAGTAACTGGACTACATTTCTGTGCTGCATCGTGGAGGAGTGTAGTATCAGTGCTTTTGTTTTTTATCTTGATTCTTTTATCGGCCGCGAGTAACATGGATACAGTGCTTAGTCGACTATTTATAATAGCATATTGAAGTACTTTCAGGTAATATATATCATTTCCGTCCCCTTTTAAATACTGTAAAAGCTTGACTTGTGACCTATATACTCTTTGATAATTTTGATATGTTAAACGGTATCTGCTAATTGAATTTATATTGTATTTTGGCTGAGTGGCTGAAGAGAATGGTTAGTATAGACTGTTGTTAATCATATGCAAGTAAAAATAGTAATTTAAACCTTTATTACTTTAAAGGCCTTGTTGTAGCATTATAGGTAGTGATGGTGTATGTTGTGTCGAGGCACATAAAGATGTCTCCGTAGACGCTTCTGCTGTAAATGGAGATAGTTCTCTACCGATTAGAGAGCAAAGGAAATGTTATAGCTGGTAGTAGTACACACCTATACTGTTACATGTTGATTTAGCACTAAGAGCTGTGCCTGTTTATATATGTACTGAAATGACTGTATATTTCCTCTATTGCATCTACCGCTTATACTAACTCTGCTACCTCTGCTACCTCTGCTACCTCTACTGCCTCTACTGCCTCTGCTGCCTCTACTGCCTCTGCTATCTCTACTGCCTCTACTACTCCTTCTGATTTCCTTCCCTCTCTTCTACCTTATCTATTAGATGATTCTTTTTTAATCTTAGTACTCCTATTCCTAGCTGTATGTGCATTTCACACTGCGGTTTCCACCTTCTTATCGCCCTTGCCTATATAGGTTCAGTTCACATTACTACTTCCTGCTTGCTAAACTACTATAGCTATGCTCTATACTCTTTCGTCGATCGGCTGCTTGGGCCGATGATAGACGTCAAAATCTTGAGTGAATCATAATATTGAACTTCACATATTGTAGGCTGCATAACTTGCGGTGCATCATACGTACATTTATACTACCCTTGTGCATACCATTCTCCACCAAGGTGAACCATCAAGGTACTACAAGCTGACTCCTGGCATGGTGACCACCCTAGTCTCTCATCTTCACTCTATCTTATTCTTTCATTATGCAATTATGATCCTTTTATTTTACAGTTTGACATTATGTCTGGTCAATTGACCTGGCGTCTCCCTTCAGCTCATTCTGTTACAGGGTCCGCGCATCGACAACGGCTCGGATGCAGTCTCCCTGCTTCATCGTCTCAAACGCACTGTTAATCTCTCCAAGAGTTTTGCGGTGTGTGATGAACTCATCGACCTTGAGAGCTCCACTCATGTAGTCGCTGACAAGTCCAGGTAGCTGCGTGCGGCCTTTGATGCCGCCAAAAGCGCAGCCCTTCCAGACACGGCCAGTGACAAGTTGGAATGCTGGAAGAAAGAATCCGAGTTAGTATGATGAAATAAAACTGTCAGCAACAGAGTAGAGGGGGCAACTCACGGCGGGTTGCAATCTCCTGTCCAGCAGCAGCGACACCAATGATGATACTCTCACCCCAACCCTTGTGGCAAGCCTCCAGAGCAGCACGCATCACATTGACGTTACCAGTGCAATCAAACGTATAGTCGCAGCCGCCGTCCGTCATCTCAATCAGCTTCTCAACGACAGTCTGCCCCTTCAGCTCATTAGGGTTCACAAAGTCGGTAGCGCCGAATTTCTTCGCCCACTCCTCTTTGGACGGGTTGACGTCCACCACAATGATCTTGCCGGCCTTGTTGACGACAGCTCCCTGAACAACTGACAGACCAACGCATCCAGCTCCAAAGATGGCGACGTTAGAACCCTCCTCCACCTTGGCGGTAACGCGGGCTGCGCCGTAACCAGTGGTGATACCGCAGCCAAGGAGACAAGTTCGGTCCATGGGGGCTTCAGGTTGAACAGCAACAACGGAAATATCGGCGAGGACGGTGTACTGAGAGAAAGTTGATGTGCCCATGAAGTGGAGGAGATCCTTGCCCTTGCACTTGAATCGGCTGGTGCCGTCAGGCATGACGCCCTTGCCCTGAGTAGCTCGGATCTTGCCGCAGAGGTTTGTCTTTCCGGACTTGCAGAACTTGCATTCTTTGCACTCGGGTGTGCTGTATGTTTGATTAGTTTTCATCTTCAACGCAGATCATAAACAACGGGAGTGAGACGAGCGTACTAGAGAGCAACGACGTGATCACCAGGCTTCACGTTGGTGACGCCCTCACCAACAGACTCGACAATACCAGCTCCTTCGTGTCCCAAGATGACGGGGAAAGCTCCCTCCGGGTCCTTGCCAGACAGAGTGTAGGCATCTATGGCGGTCAACATTTTCTCAACTCGCCAACAGCTCAGCATCAGTCACGCAACTTACCCGTGTGGCAGACGCCGGTGTAGTAAATCTGCACGCGGACCTCGTGAGCCTTGGGAGGAGCAACCTCGACATCCTCGATGCTCAGCTCCTTGCCAGCCTCCCAGGCAACGGCAGCCTTGCAGGTGATGGTCTGCATCCAGTCTCCCTCATCAGCTTCATAGCTACTAAATTATGGCGGGGTGCAAGGCCGTGGAGGGGTAGTTTCAGCGCCTTTGCTCACCTTTCCAACAGTTGAGGCCATTGTGGTAGTTCGGCTGGTGAAATGCGGCCGAAGAATTATAGATTCCCCGTTGAGTTGGAGAAGAGCTCAAGTGAACGATGGAGCTGCTATTTATTTACGAGCGCCGGCTGCTTGAGCTCAACACAGAGCTTCCCGATCCCCCGAACGTCACCATATTACTCGACATTATTGTTAGCTACCCCGCTGCGGCGCAAGTGGGGGGGAAACAAAAAACTGCTGCTCAAATGCTGTCTTATGCGCTTACTCATGCACAACCGAAATGCTGGGCAATACTTGGGATTTACCCGTCAACGAATCGCATCTTTGAACGAGGGCTGATTTTCATGAGGATTGCTTGTTGTTCCGGGCTCTATGCGGTGTTGTGTGACCATGACATATGTAACTCCGTCATCTCCGCGCTCTCAATGAATTAAAGGCGGCGATACTGGCCCTATACCGGCTATAATTATTGCCGACTTTACGGGTTACCTTAGTTATTCGGCGTTTAAAAGATAGGCATGGCTGCTCAAATGATAACGCTAATCAAACACCGATATTTCTCCTAAGATGAAGTTGTTTATTTGTGAGATCTGTGAATGGCCATATTGCGGCCAGAAATTGTGAGCTTGGATGTAGACTTCATGCTAGGTATTAAGCTTAGACCAACATTCAAACTCTTGCCTAAGGAGCGTCTATTTTTACGGTGAACAACACTCAACTTGGAACGAAAGAAAGAAATAAGAAAAAGGTGAATCTGATGGCTTTTTAGAAAATAGAGATGATTGAAATATTTTCCTCAACACATTCCTCTTGCCGCTCAGCTAGGAAACCCATACAGTTCACAGCTGCTAGATGAAATGCTGAGCTTGGCTGCGTCTAGACCATACACCGGACTCACCTCGGATTCCAAGTGTCTCGGTGAGCCCCGGCTAAATCTCGGACCGCATTCATCCCAGCGCGACAGCAGCTCCCAAAAAATATCCAAGACGCGTGCTGGGCCAACTGAATAGAGGGCTATTTTCCTTCACAACTAAGCGTCGCCAATTCTACGCCCGCACCTGCTGCGAACCTTGCTCAATAAGAAAGCATATGCTGACCTATCCGAAACCATACCCGCGTATATGAACAAGTGATCCATCATTGCTATTGATACGAACATTCTGTTGGACCAGCCGACAGGGCACCATCGCTCTTCACCATGGCCCACAGGTTCATCATCGATTCTAGTCCCATGGGCAAGGGTTCGCCGTTGACACCAGATAGACGACGTGCTAATAACTTTTCGCAATACGAAGACAACCTGGCCAGCACGCCCTTGGGTCCTCCTCCATCAGCAGCAGCAGATTTCGGCAGCTCAGTGCCTCCGGCGTTTGACTCTCCACGACCCTCGAATTTTGGAATTGGCACAACTTCAGGCATGGGGGGAGGGCTATTTGGCCAATCACGCAATCCAAACGCTCCTCTGGGCCGCCTGATGAGAGGGAGGCCGTCTGGGCTAAGCCGACAGCTTCATGCCGGCGATAACGACAAGGAAGACGATTTTGGCGAGGGTTTTGACGAAGATGACGAACTTCCTCCCCTGAGAGGAAGCTTGTTTCGAAGTGGCCCCCAAACAACCAGGGCGTCACAAAGAAAAGACGATATGGAAGCTGAAGTGGAGCGATATATCGACGAGGAAATGGAGGAAGAATTGAGCGCGGATAACTCCGATACGGGCGACATTTTCTTGAACATGCGACACGACGATCGTGCATACGGCCAGCCTGTTATTGGCGAGGAGCCAGACCTGATGATGCTGCAAACACCCGCGGCAACGGCCAGAGTACGCAAGGAAGCTGAGAGCATATATAGCCAGTCGACTCGCTTTAGGCCTACGAGAAACCACGAGCTTCAATTCGGCACCATTGCCAAAGATATCTACACATATCAAGAACCTGCCCGAATCACAGAGAGCCCCGATTTAATCCTGAAGACCGAAAACTTGGTCTGCCAACTATACAACGATGGAGTCGGCGCGCATGAGGACCCAGAAAGACTGGAAAATTCACTTGCTAACATCACCTACCGACTCATTCAACTTTGGACAGAGTATACAGAGGAGCTTCCTCCGCCAGAAGGCGAAGATCTGGCCACCATTGGACCGCCGGAAGGCGCAGATCCATTTGAAAAGGCTGCCTATGTTGCTCATTTGATCCTCCGTATGCACCATGCTCGTTTCGACACAAAAACCGAAGACGATAAGATACCACCATTGCCAGAAATTCTCTTTGACTGGTTACAAAGCAGCCACAACTTGTTTCCCAACCAAGTTCGAGAGATTTCCAGATATAAGCCCAGCCCTGCATGCCATAGCTTGTACTGGCAGACTCTGAGAAACGCACTGCTACGCGGTGACGTAACTGGAGCGCAGCAACTTTTGAGAAATGCTGGCTGGGAACATGTTCGGCGAGGACCACTGGGCGGCCCAACTTACACAGGCAAGGCCCTCGAAAACGTACGAAGGTTTGCGGAGGCTACGTGTGAGATGCTTGACCAATGCCCTGCAGCGCGCAACGACTGGGAGATTCTGGATAGTAGCTGGACTCTATTCCGAGTCCAAGCTCGAGGCTCTTTGGATAGGCTCACCCTGTTTGCTGAAGGCAAAGACACTAGCCTACTGGACTCTCTGAACGACGGAGTCGACACGTCCATGTCAGCGATGGCCAAGAAGGCGTCGAGCCAGATTCCCTGGGATATTTACGAAAATTTGCAGACGATATATGACATTGTCCTGGGACAGACTGAGGCTATCTTGGAGACGGCGCAGGATTGGTGCGAGGCAACGGTTGCGTTGTTTGGCTGGTGGGATGAGAGTGTTCAGCGCCCCAAGAGCTTGGTACAGTCTCAGTTCGGTGTTTCGCCTGGTAACTTTACAGACTCCGAGGACTACTTTGATCGGCTAGTGACTGTGTTCAACATTGTTATTCAGTCTGGCCTAACCCCCAACACAATGAATCCCGTCGAGGTTGCTCTTGCATCTGCCTTTGAAGGTAATGTTCATGCTGTTATTGGATGCCTGAGAACTTGGTCACTACCAGTAGCCTGCTCAGTGGCCGAAATCGCTTCTTTGGGCAAATGGCTTCCGCCACAAGAATCTGCGAAGCCACTACCGGCCGACAGTCTGGATATCGACGATTTAATGCTTCTCGGTGTCGGCCAGCCTAGCACTGATGATATCGAGGGTATTAAGGACACAACGCTTGTTATTTATGCCAGAGAGTTGGCAGGAATTGAGCATCTTTCACCACAACGAGACGGCTGGGAGATGGCCATTCAGGTGCTTGGGCGTATGGACGTTCCAGAAAAATCAGAGGAAACAGTTGGTGAATTGCTGAGAGATCTTTTGGCAACATTAGATGTGAACTCTAGCATAACGGTTAATAAGATGTGGAGGTTGTTGAGCGATCTGGGCATGATGAATTATGCGGAGGAGACTGCAGAGGTAGGCAGTTTGTTTCTCTTATTTGATTATTCTCTTTTTGAGCAATGACATGCTAACTGTGTAATAGACATTTGCCGAGATTTTGTCAAAAGAATCTCACCGATATGGTGAGGCTCTTTGGTATTTTGCACTTTCTCATCGCACGGATCGGGTCCGTGAAGTTTTGAACCTTCTCATGTCCTATTCGCTGGTTCAATCAACGGTATATCCTGCCGAAAAGGATCTTGACGAGGATCTCAAGGGCCTACTTCGAAATAGGTCAGAAACCTTAGAAGAGAAGGCCAAGATTGACCTGGAAGCCGCCCAGTTGCTAGGCCGGATGCTTAGCGGCTACGCTACGCTGCGCAAATTTTACGAGATCAGAGACGAGATAGGAAAAATTGAAGAAGTCTCACCATCTAGGGCTCTTGCCATGAAGAAGCAAGCTGCGTTCGCGCTGGTGGCTGTCGTCTCTAGTTCGGGGGACAACATCCGCGGCGGGCTCTACGACGAGACTAGAGATGCTGTGGTTAGCGAAGACTTTTTGCTGGCTCTGCTTGGCGAAACAACAGTTTTCATTAACCAGTCGCCCTCTGTCATCTCTCTTGAGCAGCTTGACATTCTGCTCAAGGCGATTGAGGATATCCAAGCGGTGGGCACAAGAGTGTACTCGACATGCGAAGAGTTTTTTAACCTGGTGCTCGCGTCAGCCCAGGGTTTGAAGGGGTCTACACCTGCAGATCTGATGAAATCGACAAGTTCGCTTAGTAGTAGCACATATATGATGAGTGGCAGCTCACTCCTTGCTAGCCACATGCAAAAGTCCATCATGGGAGGAGGAGGAGGCAAAGTGAACAGGGGATGGGATTGGAGGAAAGGCTGGCTTGCTAATACCAAGGGAGAAGACGTGATTCGCAAGTTGAGGCTAGGCTTGGCTAAAGACTTGGCATCACTATGGTTGGACGATGCGGACGGAGTTGCGATTTACTAGAAGGAAAAAGAAAACAAGGGGACGATAGACCGAGACGGGACCAATGGATTATACTACATGATGGAACGGGATTGAGGCGATGATACATGATGTTTAGCAGGTGTGAGATACCTATATAATACTCGAACTGGGAAAGATGTGTTCAGACATCGCGGTTGGTTAAGACATTTTAGCTTCAGCATACTCTGCTATGGAGGATATCATTTCCTACACGACCTGCTTCGCCTATAAAGTGTCAAACTGAAGTCCACTCCGTAATTATAGTGCAATGTCAAAATAGCTAGCCCAGCTCGTTGGCGCGATCTGCGAGATGGTCGTGCGCCACTTTGCCCCAATTCTCTCCCGCCCGCCGGTCTCCAATCCGATACCGCGCATTGCCAATCTCAAAACTTTCACCCCACCAAAAAGTTTGTTCGTGGGAATGAATCACGAGCGCATAAGATGGCACCAATTGAACTGGCAGGCCGTTCTGGAGGCGCCATGACTGTGAGTTTCTGGCATTGGAAGACAAATGCAAGCCATGAAGAGGAGAATCCATGATAGGCTGACTCTGAATTGGCAATCTTATAGAGCCTTTTGCGACGAGCTGGATCCAGCTCCGCGGCCGGAGCTCTGAACCGCACTCTATGCGCGTCTTCGACCCGGCGATTCTCAAGCGTCAAGTCCCTGCCGCCGACGTACGAGAGGCTCTTTAACCGATATACCGAAGTGCGCCGGGTCTTGGGCAAGCAGCGCCTGACGCTGGCCGAGAAGATTCTCTACAGCCACCTGGACAATGTCGAGGAGTCACTGCTGACCAACACGGATAATGGACGCAGCATCCGCGGCAAGGCCAACCTGCTGCTGAAGCCCGACAGGGTCAACATGCAGGATGCGTCTGCGCAGATGGCCCTGCTGCAGTTCATGTCGTGCAATCTGGAGAAGCCGGCGATCCCTGCGAGCATCCACTGCGACCACTTGATCGTGGGAGCCAAGGGCGCTGAGAATGATCTGTCGACGGGCATCCAGGCGAACAAGGAGATTTTCGACTTCCTGGAGTCTGCGGCGCGCAAGTACGGAATGGACTTCTGGCCGCCTGGTGCGGGTATCATCCACCAGACTGTGCTGGAAAACTATGCGCTGCCGGGTCTGATGATGCTGGGCACTGATAGCCACAGCCCCAATGCTGGTGGTCTCTGCACTGTCACAATTGGTGTTGGAGGTGCCGATGCTGTGGAGGCTCTGGTCGGCGCCCCATGGGAGCTCAAGGCCCCCAAGGTGCTCGGTGTCCAGCTCACTGGCAGCCTGAACAACTGGGTTGCTCCCAAGGATGTCATCTTGAAGCTGGCTGGCGAGCTGACTGTTCGCGGTGGCACTGGCTCCATCATTGAGTACTTTGGTCCTGGCGTTGACACCTTGAGCGCGACTGGTATGGCTACCATCTGCAACATGGGTGCCGAGGTTGGCGCAACCACGTCCATCTTCCCTTACACCGAAGCTTCTGCTCGATACCTCGAGTCTACCCGCAGAAGCCAGGCTGTTGAGAACATCAAGGCCCTGCAAACCTTCCCTGCAAACAACGCCTCCGAGGACTCCCGCTTCCAATTCAAGGCCGATGAAGGCGCCGAGTATGACCAGCTCATCACCATCAACCTCTCTGAGCTGGAGCCTCACGTCAACGGCCCCTTCACTCCCGACCTGGCTACCCCTCTGTCCAAGTTCAAGGACGCCGTTAAGGAGCAGCAGTGGCCCGAGAAGCTGTCTGCCGGCCTCATCGGCAGCTGCACCAACAGCTCCTACGAGGACATGACACGTGTGGAGAGTCTCCTCAAGGAGGCTGCCGATGCTGGTCTCAAGCCTGCAGCCGATTTCTACATTACCCCTGGCAGCGAGCAGATTCGCGCCACCCTGGAGCGTGACGGCACTCTGAAGACCTTTGAGGCCGCCGGCGGCGTTCTGCTGTCCAATGCGTGTGGTCCCTGTATCGGCCAGTGGCAGCGACAGGATGGTGTTACCAAGGGAACCTCCAATGCCATCCTCACCTCCTACAACCGTAACTTCCGTGGCCGAAACGATGGCAACCCCGAAACTATGAACTTCCTTGCCTCCCCCGAGATTGTCACCGCCATGGCTTTTGCTGGTTCAACCACTTTCAACCCCATGACTGACACTATCAAGACACCCTCTGGCAAGGACTTCAAGTTCTCTCCCCCTCACGGTCTTGAAGGCCCCAAGACTCCCTTCGAGGCCGGTGTTCCATCCCTCGGCGTCCTCTCCCAACAGCCTGACCCCAGCGTTCAGGTCGCCGTCTCCCCATCTTCCGACCGCCTCGCCTTCCTCGAGCCCTTTGCCCCCTTCCCAGAGTCTGACCTCTCCGGCCTCCGCGTTCTCGTCAAGGTCACCGGCAAATGCACCACCGACACCATCTCCGCTGCCGGCCCCTGGCTCAAGTACAAGGGCCACCTCCCCAACATCAGCACCAACACCCTCAACACCGCCACCAACGCTGAGACGGGCGAAGTCAACGCCGCCTACGACCTCGACGGCTCCAAGCACACCATTCCCGAGCTCGGCCAGCTGTGGAAGGAACGCAACCAGGAGTGGCTCGTTGTCGCGGAGCACAACTACGGCGAGGGTTCGGCCCGTGAGCACGCCGCCCTGCAGCCCAGATACCTCGGCGCGAGAGTTGTCCTGACAAAGTCCTTTGCGCGCATCCACGAGACGAACCTGAAGAAGCAGGGTGTCGTGCCGCTGACGTTTGAGAACGAGGCTGATTATGACAAGATTGGAGCTGGTGACGAGGTTAGCACCGTTGGGCTGTATGAGATGCTCCGCAACAAGGGCAAGGGAGATGTTCAGCTCAAGGTCAAGAAGGCGAGCGGCGAGGAGTTTTTGATCCCGACGAAGCATGCTGTGAGCAAGGACCAGGCGGGATTCATTTTGGCAGGCAGTGCGCTGAACTTGCTGTCCAAGAGGGCGTAGAGGTTGAACCAGGGTTAGGGAATAGCTGCTGAGATGGATATAGCAGAATGATCCGAGGAAAATTGAGAATGAAAGAATGGGTATATAGTGCTGTACGTCTTTGTATGTAGCAGTATACCTAAAGCGTGGAGCTAAGTAATTGATTTCTTGTATAACATAAAGGAAGAACTAGATTCCTAACTACCTGAAATAAAAATATCTTTGGTGATAAAGGATATCGCGAAAATTATATAGTGACGCTATCTCTAAGCTCAAGTTATTATAATGTTCAAAAAGGTGCCTTTGCATTGTAGGTTCATTCATTTTTTATTCTATACACATATGATACAAAGACTTATGTCCGTGATCCTGTAAGTTACCCGTAAACCCAATCGCTTTCAAGCTTTGCAAGAAGCGCAAAGAGCGTTTCTGAAACCAGAAACTCTTACAACGTTGTCAGAAGAAAAGTGGTGAAAGATTCATAGCTGTGGGCTAGCCAATTTTGTCGGGACCAACATTGGCTTATGGAGTTGATATCTGGACTATAATTGAACGATTCTGTAAGCTGCTTCTTAGTAACAGCCCTGTAGAATGGTAATGGGTTGTGAATTATCCATTTCTGAGATAAATTTCGGTATGATACCAACTGAAGAGAAAGTATGAGGAGTGATAACACCGATATTTCGCTTAGTTGCGATCAATTCTTAGTTTCTAGTTTAAAATAAATATCTGCACACATTTAGGTTGATAAGGTATTTCACCAGCCCCAAGACCGCTCCTTATTATCTATTTCGGCTATAACATACAACCTCTTCCTCGAGCAAGGTTTTAAGATGATATCTTATTAAAATCATGAGTGCTAAATAAAACAAACAGTGAAATTGAGGTTGAGTCATGGAAAATATTTGTTGGCAGGTAGATCATTAGATGAGTGAGGCTATGATACGTGAATGCTGAGCAAGTCAATCTGCTAGTTTAAGCTACCTCTTCTATCGAGTACTCGTACGGTAAAAAAAATCCACAAAATGCCAGTTTGCGAATAGTGCAGGGAAATTAGAGTATAATTTAGAATTTGCAAGTGGTATTTAAGTGTATACTCTCTTGACTCTAGATCATGGCTGGCTAGAACGAGCGGGAATCCCATGTCGTGCTAAATAGGCTATGACTCAAAAGCACTGGCAAATTAAAGCTATACATTGAGATGGCGCTAGAAGCACAGCGTATGGCGTGTCCGCCCCCCTACACGTGGGCTAACGCAATTACGGCGCTGACTTCCTAAATTATTGCTATGTATAACCCAGCCCAATGGCTCGGAACATCGAGCGACGTTCCGCATTCTCTTGCTTTTCGAACAGTCAAAACATTTTGTGCGAGAACGGAAAAAATAGACAATGAATGCTGTCCTCGCAACAATGTCTCTTAGTTATTGGGAGGGTAAGGTCACAAAGGGCCTCGTTCAAGCATGGCCTGTGATCTTGAATAATTGGCATCTCGGCATGACTGCATTTGGTGGCCCACCAGTCCATTTCAAGATTGTACGCCTAGCACTCTAATGAAGTCGACGTTAGTTATCTGACTTCGAAGCAGTTGCATGACAAGTTTGTGTTGAAGCTTAACTGGATCGATGAGCAAATGGTATGCATCACTGCAGACACTTCCGCCCATTCAGCAGACTAATAGTTATGTACGCCATAGTATCAAGAGCTGTTCAGCATCTCACAAGCTCTATCAGGCCCAGCAAGCACGAAGATGCTTTACTGTATCAACCTGATTCATAACGGTGTATTTGGAGCTGTGCTTGCGTTCTTTATTTGGAGGTATGTTAGGATGTCGGTACAGCTAAAGAAGCTGTTTTAACACTAACCTTGCTGCGCAGTTTGCCTGGTGCGCTGGGGATGTTTGGTCTCTCCATCGGTGTCTCCAACATTGAGAATGCGTTGCCTCGCGCGGTTTACGCTCTTCTTTCTGGTCTGAATGCCGCAACTGTTGGAATCATCGCGTTAGCCGCGGTTGAACTATCAAACAAAACAATTACAGACAAGCTGACAAGAATCACCGTCTTTCTCGCTGCTGCCGCTGGATTGCTATATAATGCGCTCTGGTACTTTCCAGCCCTCATGTTTGCTGCCGGATTCGCTGCTGTTGTACATGACTTCCGCTGGCTTCATCGTCTCGGCCGATTTATTACCAATATTCTCATACCCCCGAGCCCCTCATCGACGGGAGTGGAAAATAATGCAATCGAAAGAGATAACCGCAGGGGAAGCTCCAATAACTCCATCATAACACCCGAGGAACACGATATCACTTCTGGAAATAATCCTGAGACACGCACCATACCACAAGAGTATCGGTTAAACTTCTCATGGAAAGCTGGAGCTGCTGTCATCACAACTTTCCTTCTCGCCTTCACCGTTGTAATGGTGCTCCGTGGAGTCTTGCACAGCCCCCCTCTGCTGTATAAACTCTTTGCTAATCTTTGTCTCGCGGGAACCATCATTTTTGGCGGTGGTCCGGTGGTGATCCCACTATTGCGGGAGTACGTCGTGGCCGAGGGATGGGTCAGCCCACGCGACTTTCTTATTGGGTTCGCCATAATACAAGCATTTCCAGGACCCAACTTCAACTTCGCCGTATTCCTAGGAGGCCTCGCCGCCATCAACAGCGGACAACCCCCCATTTTAGGAGCAATCATTGCATATTTAGGCATCTTTTTGCCCGGCATGGTCTTGGTTCATGGTACCATGGGCGTTTGGAAGGTCTTGAGAAGCAAGCCATGGGTAAAATCTGGGTTCAGAGGTGTCAATGCGGGCGCAGTCGGCTTGATTTATACAGCTGTGTACCGAATATGGCAGGTTGGATATATAGATGAGGGTTTCCAGTCTGGGAAAAGCCTGGGCGATGATCCATGGTGGGTGGTTGTCGCAGCGTCGGCATATGTTGGAGGTAGATACTTTGGTCTCTCAGCACCGCTAGCTATACCTCTTGGTGCTGTGTTGGGATTGGTAAGATATGGGATTGTAATGAGCTAGATCTTGAGAGAATCTTCTTATACAACGGAGATGGCGAATTGGAGTCACATGCCAAAGCATCTGTATTTGTCCTCATATCTATATTGCCATTAGATAGTATATACCTTTGGTAGTTCTTTTTTTAAAAGCTATAGAATTGTAAAAGAAAATAGTGGAAGCCAGTTATCTTGACGAGCTTGGTTCGCAACTCGTATATACCCGTATGCATGTGCTCAGTTTCTGGGTTATCACCGCTATATAGGTATCCAAATATAGTTTTAGGTGCAGAACCTCACAATAGTGAGCTGCGTGAGGAATATATTAATAATTAACGAATATTTAAGATAATAGTTTCGATGCTACAACTACCTTTTATGTACTGCGCTTGTCATAGAGCTTGTGGCCCAGAAATATAAGCTGTTGAATCAAGTATCTGACAAAAAATTCCACGCCTCACTAGGCCATCTACTTCTAAAAATAAAAGAGAACAGAGAGAGGTACAAAAAAAAAAAAAAAGGACATTCGCCATATGCGCCAATTATAGCCTTATATCTCCATAACTCCTCCATTGATCATAAACTTTACAACTGCAAAAGCTTCTCTCTATATCGAACCGGTTGCACAAAGAATATTGCCAGAGCCAATATTTCAAAGAAGCGGAGGAACAAGGGATGATTGCGCCAAAGCCAACACACGTAGTGGAATTCATTCAGTTATTTCAAGGTCCGCGGCTCTTTTGTGATGCTAGTTTGGCATCTTCCATGATGCGTTCGGCTTGATCCCATGCTGCTCGATTTGCATTCTTGGCTGCGCGCTCTCGAAAAAGCCTCTTTGCATGATTTTCTCGATGCCAGGCGCAAGCCTTAACCCACGCCGGGTTCTGTAAAACATCTTCTGGCAGTTCCTCGTGAGGAACATCTCCAAAATCAAGGACTCGATTATACGACCAGGGCTGCGGGTCTATACGCGAAAGCTTTTGATTTGATTCTTTTGCTGCATTTCTCTCGTCTTCTTCGGCTTTCTCTTTTGCTCGTAGCCACCGTCGCCTTTCAATAACTTTTCCAAACCACGCCTTACGCCCTCTACGGGCTTGGATCTCTGCTGCCTTTTTCGCGTGCCACTCTTCAGATCGATTATATGGTAAGTGAATTGCGGGATTGATTGGTAAATACAGCCTCTGATACTCAATAGAAGGATTCTGTACCGGCATTTTCGGTCGCGCTGGGGCCTGTAACGTAACCCCTCGCGGCGGGCGGAGTGCAGACTGGCGATATATCATTGTATCAAAGGCTTCCGAGTCAAAGGCGTGGATCATGTCCCTCTTGCGCTCCTCTGCTATTGCCTGCGTTGCCACCACCACCGTGTGGTCCACCATTGTTTGGTCCACCACCGTTTGGTCCACCACTGTTTGGCCCACCACTATAACACTCTCTGTTCCAATAGTGGATGATGGACCATTAGCCTTAGCCTGCTGTTCACCCGTTGATGTAGTCGCCAGAGGCTCAGGCTGTTGCGGTTGTTGAGGAACGTGAATAGTTGTCTCGTCATCAGAATCCAGGATTTCGATTTGCACACGTGTATGATTTTCAAGCTGCCCTCTACCATTCTTATGGACAGTCTCTATCGTAGATACCCGCGTATTTGACATCTGGACTTTTCTTGGGGTACGAGGTTGATTCGCAGCTTGCTCATCACCGGGCATTTGGCTTTGATATTTAGCAGATTTGATTGACGGAGCGCTTCCATGGGCATATTCTGGATTGTTTGAATTTCGTGCCTTTGTTTGCATTTCTATTTCCAAGAGAGTAGAGCGTCTCTCTCCTTTCTGTTCAACAGAGGAATCTTTGATTTTTGGCAGTGTATCTGAAAGATCAGCCTTTCTCTTTGAAGGTGATATATGAATTGGAAGATTTTCTTTGCTTTGAAAGACTTGATCGGACTTTTGGAATACGTGAATAGTAGGGCCTTCACGCCTATTGCTATTCATTGACTCTGGCTTTCTCCGGCTGGGTGTTTGGGCTACAGTGATCGAAATTGACTCTTCCGAGCTTGTATCTCCAGCCCGAGAAGATGAAATTGCTGCTGGGGGACCTTTAATACCTGTACCATCACTGGATGAATTGGAAGGCAAAGTAGTTGGCGGAGCAATAGGAAAATTCAAATTCGACGTGAAGCCGTCATCAACGTCAACCAATCCGCCGATTAGGGCGAGATGTTTTCTGGGAAAGGTATTTGGTGGTGCATATTGGCCCGCTGGAGCATCCCTATTGCGACTTTGATGTATATATGCTGAATGGCCTTGATCGGGCCTCAATGCAAAATAAGGCTCCCGGGGTTCCGACAGTGTGGATCTAGTCGCGGCTGCGGAGGCGTAGGCAGCTGCCGGTAAGAATTCTGTTGCTGCTCGGATTTGCTTTGACATCATGGGTCTTGTTGTTACTGGTGATGCTGAATGCCCAAGAATCTGGCCCGAGTCTTGTTTTGGAAATTGACGGGCAAAAGCTGGCACCTCCGTGCTAGCCGGGTGTATCAAAGTGGAGTCGCTCCGATGTGCAGAAGACGTGGATCGCTGAGGGTTACTCTGTGCGGGACCAATCATTGTCCTCCCGGGGGAGAATCGCCGGGTCCTCTTTGCCTTATGTACAGAGCGAGGCATTGGCTCTAGACCAGGAGGTTTGAAGGCAACAGTATTATGGTCACCCATCTGGTGCTTAGAGCAAAGAGACTGCGCAAATATGGGTTCTTCGCAGTCCCAAACAGAGCATCCTCCCCTAGCTCTAAGGGCCTCATTTCGATTCATATCTGTGGACCTTGCTAATCATACAGCAGAATCCGGATAATGTCTGCGAAATACCATTCCATGCCAAGTAAAAGGCCTAGGGTTCCGCTTAACGAGGGCCGATGATTTATCATCCAAGATTTTGCGGTGCGGTAACCAGGGGGGGCCAGTGCGAAATTCTAACAAGGAGCCCAACGCGTTGCGTTTGCTAAAAATCATCCAGATAGAATTTACCCACAACCACCTGAAATATCAGATTTTGAAAATAGAAATGATATCCTGTAAATTAGTCAGCATGGCTGTACAGTAAATAGTCTGCGTAAGAGAAATGAATTTGGGCTCGCTCTTGAAAATGTCAGATCTTTTCAGTTTTTATTTGTGACTTCAGGCTAGGAACAGCAACGGTTAAAGAATCAAGCGCCTTCCTGAAAGCTTTTCGCTCGCGTGAGGAAGCAGTGTTCGTCGCGGCCTTTGGTCTCAGTCCGTGGGGGCGATGAGGGCAGAGACTCCGTGTGCGACGCGAATATTCTTGATACGCAGCACTTTTGAAGCCTTCTAGCAAGGAATACGTGAGAAGATTCTTTGCTGAGAATATGGCGAAGGTAGCTGTTTGACGCGTTTCCGTGGACAGATAAACGCCCAGGAAGACACACGAGACCAAAACCAGGAGGTTCCGTTCGGTCAGACCTTTTACCATAGAAACATCATCCATTATATCGAGCGAGCCGCGTACAGGCGGAAAGGCGAAATGTGTATAAAAATGAAACCATACGACTTACTTTACAACCATGGATGAGACCTCAACAGGCTCATGGCAAAGATATCTGCGTTGATTTTCCCGGTGTCTCGGATAAGCGAGCGTGGCCGTGGCAGCTGGAGACTCCGAGGGCTGGCGCCGGAGAAGTGCAAGGCATCAGGCAAACGAGAGTGAATTGCTAGATTGCTGCTGCGCCGACTCCTCCGCGGTTGCGCGCGTTTGGGGAAGAGGAGATGGTGCAAGGCTGGAGCAAAGGCAAAGGCGTCGGTTTGCTGGTAGAAGGCACATCGTTGTCGCTAGTGGCCCAAGCGTCCTTTCAACGAGCACCTAGCCGCTCTGGAGAGTTTGCGCCAGGCAGAAGTACATGTACCTGAGTCGTACCTTGCCGCCGAGGGCTTACATAAGAACCACTGGCTCTGGCCAGGTCTGTCGAGCTGCCGATGTTTCGCATGGCTGAGACGAAGGTGGCATCAATGGAAAGTAGAGATGCAAGACACTATGTATCTTTGGTTTCTGCAACGGCCATGGCTGCATCGGGGTAGTAGCAGCAGTGGTCAGATTTTAGATGGCAGAGAGCGATGCCAGGGGTGTAGAGGTCTAGAAAGATTCTGTAACTTTCAGATCTGCAGTGATGCCGAGTTTCTGTGCCACCCCAAAGCAGGTACTTCTAGGTACTTATACGGACAAGCACCCATTTCTGCAGTTAGAGGCGATGCTTTAGCGGCGCATCAGGCCCTGAGAGCGGCCCTTCTTTAGCGGCTCGAGTCGCTTAACGCTGTTCGTGCTACGGAGCACAGCGAGCGTAGGCGGTGTTTGACACGTGGTAGCGCGGGGAGCTTCCTGGAACTACACGTCGTCAAGATGGTGTCGCAAGCCTCATTTCCCTATCCATTCAGTCGCAAACGAAGACAGAATTCATACTCCGCGCCTCGCTTAATACAGTTCCATTTGCGCATTTACCGATCTTCTGTCTCCGCCTAAATCCCCGTCATATGGACTTTCTCAAGTCTGCCGTGGCTTCGGCCATATCGCAGGGCCCTCCTTTCCCTTACACATTCGGCGACAAAGTCGACGTAGACGAGTCGATCTGGACCTTATACAACGGAACTAGGCGGGTAAGCTTAGCTGCAAAAAAACTGACCGTGCTTTGCTCTACACAAACTTACTATTGCGGCCTTAGGAGGATGGATCGAACTGCAGCATCTTCTCATTCGACATCACGGCGAAGAAGAGCCAGCTGCCGCTCGCAAAGAACGCGCTAAGGAAACTGCGAACATTGCGACACCCAGGCGTTATCAAAGTCCTAGACACTGTCGAGGTATGCGGTGCGGCCGCCATGGCCACGCTTCAGAGCTGATTGTCGAGCAACTAGACAGACACATATATCTACATCGCTACTGAGCGCGTTGTCCCTCTTCGGTGGCATGTTAAAAGGAAGAGCTTGAGTCCCGAGACGATCAAATGGGGCATATATACAGTCGCTGTAAGAGCTTTGTCAGAAAAGTAGCATCTACAATGCTCAAATGCTAATTATTGTCCAGCAAACCCTTAAATTCATCAACGACGATGCTTCTTCAAAGCACGGAAGCCTGAAAGTCGGCTCGATATATACTTCAGAAAGCGGAGAGTGGAGATTGGGCGGCTTTGAAGTTCTGAGCAATGTTAAGGAGAGCGAGACTACTCTTGATGTAAGTTTTCAGATCTTCCAAGCACGGAAATTGCAATTTGCCAATACTTTGCCTAGAGCTACGGAAGCTTAGTTCCTGATTCTGGTCGATATGCGCCGCCAGAAGTGGCCCAAGGAGGATGGGGAGCGACCAAATCGCATCCTCTGTACGCTCTGGACTCTTTCAACTTTGGAACCCTGATATTTGAAGTTTTCAATAGCGACTTTCTAGGCCCAGATCAAGCTGGCCAAACAAAAAATATCCCCCCCACAATGCATACTGCCTATAGACGCCTTTGCAACGCCAACCCTAAAGCACGGATAAGTGCAGCCAATTTTCTTGACATGGGGCGCCGATCCGGCTCGTTTTTTGATACCCCTTTGATTCATTTGACAGACGGAATAGACAACTTGGGAATGAAAAACCCTGATGAACGAGATGAGTTTCTCGAGTAAGCATTTTTCTTGTCATCACCATAATCATGCTCTTCTATCTAACTCTTGAGTTTGTTAGCACCTTGGATCAAGTAACGGACGACTTTCCTGAAGAATTCTTCAAATCCAAAGTTCTCCCGGAGTTAGTGAAATCTGTTGAATTTGGCGGCGGCGGTTCCAAAGCTCTCACTGTTGTGTTGAAAATAGCTGCCAAGCTGCCCTCTGATGATTTTGAATCGAAAATCGCACCCTTCATCGTTCGCGCCTTTACTAACCCTGATCGGGGCATTCGGGTATGCCTGTTGGACGGCCTCCCCCTCATAATTGAACAATTATCGCAGAGAATTGTCAATGACAAAATATTCCCACAGCTAGTATGCTACTTCCCTACCTTTTCATGACGCTGGGGTGCTAATAAGGATATCAGGCTACCGGCTTTACGGATGCAGCTCCTGTGGTTCGAGAACAGACATTAAAATCAGTGCTGGTCGTTATTGGGAAATTATCAGACCGCACCATTAACGGTGACCTTCTGAAGCAGCTTGCAAAGACGGCAAACGATGAACAGCCTGGTATTCGTACGAACACAACTATCTGCCTTGGCAAGATTGCAAAGAATCTTGGCACATCCTCAAGATCAAAGGTGCTAATAGCTGCCTTTACCCGTTCTTTGCGGGATCCTTTTGTGCACGCCAGAAATGCTGCGCTCATGGCTTTGGCTGCAACGGCTGAATATTTTAATGAAGATGACTGCGCCACCCGCGTCTTGCCAGTGGTCTGCCCTGCTCTGATTGATAAAGAAAAGATGATCCGTGACCAAGCATCTCGTACAATGGACATTTATCTACAAAAAGTTCGCAAAGCTGCTGCTGCTATGCCAGACACCGTTTTACCGCCCCCTCAATCGACTGATGCTTCCGCTGTGCAAGTTAACTCGGCACAGCCAAGTGCGTCTCCTGGAGCCAGCTGGGCAGGATGGGCCATCTCATCTTTTACAAATAAACTGACTGCTGTTGCTGGAGATATGCAAACAGAAAATAGCCCAGCTCCAGCTGCTGTTTCTCCACCACCTAGGCCTGAGGTGAAAAGATCAGCTACGTCGTCAGCATCAGCTCTTCACCGCCAAGCTGTGGCATCGCCTCCCCCCATAACATCTGGCCCATCGACACCAGGCGTTGCCACTGCAATTGCTGGGCAATTCCTACCAGACGATGACGACGACGACGCAGGTGATGCGTGGGGCGATCTTCCGGATGATGACACCTTTGATACACCTTCTATGGCTGCCAATACATCTACGTCTGCGTCTGTGTCTGCTACGCCATTCGGTGAAGAGGAGCCTGATTTTGCTGGTTGGCTCGCGGCGCAAGCGAAAAAAGGACCCAGCAAGCCTCTGCCCAAAGGACTGTCAAAACCTAGCACTGCTAAAAAGCCTGCAGCAAAAGCAGTCGCGAAACCTGCAGCAAAGCCTACGGCAAAGCCTGTAGCGAAGAAGATTGACCTGACACCTAAAGAAACGGAGGAGGATGATGATGGTTGGGGCGACGGCTGGTAAGATTGGGACCATGGTGCCAAGTTGGCGTTTGAGTGCATGGATGCATGTATATAGCGAAGATATCAGTAGTCTGTTCCAGTATTATACAGCGAAACGACAGAGCCGGCGTTGTGGTTAGAACTGGGATTTGAATATCATTCTTTCTCTTTTCCTCTTTTCATCAACTGCAAATTTTCCGAGTAAACTAGCGGGTCTTATATTGCATTACGGTAATTTCTACTCAGGAATACATATTTAGCCGTTTTTCCTTAAATACTGCCTATACGCAAAGATTCTGGGGATTTAACATCAAACATGTCAGTCAAATAGTGGTACTGTGCATACTAGCGCCCGCCAGCGCTTTCGGCAAATAGTCGGTGGTGTATAGTTTGCCTATCTAAGCTTATCCTTATCAGCGGCTCTAGTAGAAAAAAAAAGAGAGAAAGGGAAAAAAAAAAAAAAAAAANAAATATCCCCCGCTACGCAGAAACGCTCCATCGTGCGTCTTTCCACTGCACATCAAATCTGCCAGCGAGGAAAGAGGGCGCAAACATGGCGCAAGGCACAATAAAAAAATCCAACAAGGCCGCTGCGCCAAAGGCCGTCCACTCGAAGCGCCAGGCGTCCAAGGTCACCAAGCCCAAGAAGTCGAAGCCCAGCGCCGACAAGCTTCTCAAGAAATTCACATCAGGCATGGCAGCCAAGACAGAGGCGCTGCTGGGCGAGAGAGCGGGCCATCTTGAGCTGATTGGGCCGGGGAAGAAGGGCAGCAAGAAGTTGTCACAGAAGGGAGGATCCAAGAAATTCGGTTAAGAAGAGAGAGAGAGAGCGAGAAGATGAAGGGCGCAAGAGAGCAGAGAGGAGGGAAGCAAGATGGGCTGTGGGATAGAGATTAGCATGGAGGCAACGCATTCAAACTACGAGCGATGATTTATTTCCAGTATTGGCATTTAATTTCTGCTTTTTTTTCCTACTACGATACCCAGAATGGGGACCGATTTTCTTTCAATATTTACGCCTTCTCGATATCGAATTCTCTACCCTCGGCAACGGCATTCAAAAGCGCTGACACGACTCGGAATTCTCTTTCGATATCGACCATCCAATTTGAGACGGCGACTCTCACAGCCTTCTCGCCCTTCCAGCTCGTCCCGCTCACGTACATCTGCCTCGTTGCGTTGATCTTGGCCACTAGCTCATCATTCAACTTCCTATCCTTGGCCCTAAATAAAACAATAATGAAAATTTCTTCAACGTCACCGCTCTCGTCTGGAAGGAGCTCATAATACGGCGACTCTCGCAGGAAAATGGCCAACCTCCGCGATACTTGGGCCATGTTGTGAAATAGCTTGGCATAGCCAGGGCGGCCCTGGCTGAGGAGAGCGGCGTAGGCCGGCAGCGCGCGGAATCGCCTCGAGTTTTCGAGGCCAATATTTAGAGGAGATGGGATACTGGCCGCTGTGCCGCCGGAAGAGAGATATGCAGCGTTTGGGTTGACAAAGACGGATTGAAGGATAGTTGGAGTGCGGGTGAAAAACATGCCGCAGTCGTATGGCTGAAGATTATTAGTGACATGAAGCATTTAATTTTCCAATGGAGGTTGGGCATGAATGGGGGGTGCAGGTTTTACATACAACGTTGAGCATCTTGTGGCCATCAACCGTGATACTATCGGCTAGGTCGATGCCGTCGGCTCGATCATGAAGCAACTGATATTCGTCTTTGCCTGTTTCTAAGGCGCGGCTGAAGATTCCAAAGGCTACAGTTAGAGAAATTAGTACCCTGAGGATTGTTTCCCTTGATCTAGCCATCTTTGTCTTTGTGTTTAAGAGTCAACGTACCTCCATCCACGTGAATCCAGGCATCATGTTGATCCGCTAGGTTCCTCAACTTCTTCCACTCGTCGACATTGTCAAGAGCATAGCCACCAGTGTTTACTTCTCCCATACTGACAGCAATGATGCTTACTGTTCCTTGGCGGCCCAATTCTCTCTCTACTGCATCAAGGTCCAACTTCCAAGGCTGAGCCGCACTTCGAGGAAGCTCCTTGACAGACGCTCTCCCTAGACCAACTATACTCGCTGCTTTGGAGAGCGAACTGTGACCTCCGCTAGTAAGGACTTGAATCTCAGAAACGCCTGCTTTGACGCAAGCGCCCAGCAAGCCTAGTTCGCCCACTGAGGCGCCCTTTTTCTCAAGAACGGCCTCTCTGCCACAGGCCAAGCCCAGAACATTGCTGGCAGTGGCTCCGGTGGTGAAAGTCCGGCCTCTCCAATCTGGACCCAGGCGAAGCAGATTCAACAACATCTCCAGAGCTGCATTCTCAACCATTGTGGATACAGATTGCTCAGGCAAATGGACTTGTACATTTTGATCCATGCGAGAGACGACATTGTCGGCCCATTCAGCTACAGGAAGGACGCCACCGGTGACGAAGCCGAAATAGCGGCTCGATTGGGATTGACCGCATAACGCTGGGACGATATCTTTCGTGATATGCGAGGCAACTTCGGTAGCAGGCTGGCCAGAAAGGTAGCCTGGGCCAGATGGATTGGGCAGGGAGGCCTCGGCAGCGTGAATGAGATGGAGAGGTGGGAGTGTGTTATTATGCTGAGATTGCTGAGGAAGGCCTTGCCGCTCTAGGCGCGCGGATTGGGCTTGAATATCGAAGAGATCTGCCATGATGAGATTTTTTTTTAATATGATGAAGATTATGGAGAAGGCAGTAAAGGGTTATAAGTGAGTCTGAGTGAGTATATTCTGAAGAGATGAGTGTAAGTGGAAACAAGATGAGCTGCCCCGCCAATAGTATTACTAGCCTGTTGGTAGAAGAAACTAGAGAATGTAAATAGAAGAATAATGAGAGAAAGGGAAAAGAGGGGAGAAATTGAGAGGGCATTTATATCTACTGTGTCTATGTTGCGTATAGAATTGGGCCATCAGGCTCTTCTCCACTTTGCTGCTCCAGACCGCAGAATGGATTCGCAAAGTCTTTCTCACGAGTGCTCTGCTCGCAAGTTGCTGCCGCTGCTGGCCAGCGTAAGCCCGTTTTAGGCATAACGTGACAGTGCCAACGTGCTTTAGCTGACGTGCCTAGCGCAGGAACCTCGCACAGCTACATGTGCTTGTCCCGACGGGGCCCAGAGATGGTGATCCAAGTGAAATAAGTAATCAAAGGAGTGCCGGGAATCCCACCAATCGTTTGGAAGCAGGTTGGTAGTTTGGAGATGGAGATTTGCTAGATGTGGGATTTTGTATATACTAGTAGTCTTGTGTGGCTGGTGTCTTTTGCTCATCAAGTCGTTGAATATCGTGTTATACGATCTGGGCATCATCATTGTGGAAACGAGCGGAGAATAAGCAGCTGAAATTGAAAGTAAGATACCAGTACATGCCGATCCCTTGGAGTGCGAAGGTATTTCTTTTAATACGGCCTAGGGTATCTGAGAAGATAATAAAAAAGGTTGATCAAATTGGATAATATATATCCATAGAAAATAAATGTAAAATATAACACACACACACACACATATCGGTATAGTAGGATCTGATATCCCAACATAAATAGTTCACTATAAAGTTAAGAATCAGATTTAAATACCCTATAGGGAATTTGATATTTTCCACGCATTTTTAAGGGAAAGCAAATTTAAATCCACTGCATATATTACTACCTGCATGAAGAAGATGGCGCAATGATGAACATGTGAGGAGGCCGATAGTCGGACGGCTCGTGATGGCTGGTTGACAATTATCTCAGAACCTATCTCTATTCTACCCTATATATTATATATCTAATTACCTCCAATCTAGCGTATATTAGTATACTAGACTAACAGATGAAGAAAAACGTTACTGTTGCTGTAAATCTACTTCCACAGAGCTACTACCAATAAACTCTCTGCGCAGAGGCTGACTAACTATATGCCTTTCGAGGAAAACAAAAACATGTCAAATAAGAATTACTTTGCTATGAATAAAAGAGCCTATGTAGCATTTCTTGACTTTCTAGTCACAGATGTAATAAACCTGCCGTTTCAGTTCCTGACATGCATAATACACTTCAGGAATGCAGGAAAAAACGCGTTGTGTATTTCTTTCTCCGTAGATTTCGCTCCAAAGACGCAAAAATTCACGGAATACCTGGGCATAGCCCAAAGCACATGGACGCAACACCCAGCATATGCCAGTAGATGAAACCAAAATCGGACGAACCCAGCTATCGCATGTCTTAGGCTGTACCCAATTGTCTATTACCACAGGTGGTATATATAAACGCCCAAATAGCAATTCCTTTACAAAACCGACAAAAAGATTGTACACAAAAGAAAGAAAGATATTCCTTTTACAGCTTCGGGGCCTCCTTGACGGTACCGATCTTGTATTTGCCGCCGTACTTCTCCAGCACGCTCTCATTGTGGTATTTCCAGAACGCCTTGGTCGCGTTCTTGCCAGCAAAGCGCTTCAGGATCTTGGAGCCGCCGGGGTGCTCTTCGAGGAAGTCTAGAGGTTCGCGCATCACGCCCCGTTAGTCACGACTTTCTTTCTTCCGCTGCAAGTAGTAGTCCATCTCGCATGCGCGAGGAGAGAGAGAAAAGGAGGGGGGGGGGGAAACGCACTGGTGACGTCGTAGACGCCGTCCTCGACAATGAGCCAGTAGCCGTTCGCATCGTCCTTGTGCGAGCTGACGTCGGCTGTGGTGAAAGACTTGTCGGCCATTGTTGGTTGTTTCGTTTGCTATGTAAGCTTGGCGCTGAAAGGAATGATGCTGATGAGATCGAGGTCGCTTGAATGTTTCGATAATCTCGTGGACAAGCACAGAGAATGGCGGAAAAGGAAGTAAGATGGCAGGTAGAAGAAGAAGAAGATGGCGATCGGTAGAAAAGCTGGAGCTCACCAGTTGAAAAGGGCGGGCAAAGTTACCTCGGCACGCACAGCGAAAGACGAAAGAGGGTCAGCGCTATGCCGGCTTTGTTCAGTGGACGCAAAACCCCCGGATTTGGCGGGTTTGGGGTAACCGGGTGGCCTGACGAATGATGAGGGGCGGATTGCAAAGGTCTCGTGAGCCGAGGTTTATCATATGCCATAATGCCTACATAATGCCTAACACATACAATAACCGCTAATTGCACTAATGATTACATATAGACTACGTGTAAGTCTAACCCAAGAGACATACGGAGTAGTAGCTGGGCAGATATTACTTAGCCGATGACTTATTCAATTCAGTCCTGATGTCTACAAGTCAAATTGGGTTGGTAACTGGCAGGCAATATGCAGTCAGTGGTTTCAATAGCTCCCTTCCGTCGTGTGAGAGTGGTATCGCCAAATTGTTATTAATCTATGAGTGGAATTCGAGTTTCCAAGTTCCTTCGTAGTTTGATCCTACAATATATCAAAAGCCGCCTATGCTAAAGCTCAATCACAATTGGCCGTCGCTTCCTCAGCGCCTCTCTAAACCTGTCTGCAAACGCCGATGTCGTTCTACAGTCGCTCTCCATGCGCTTCTTCATCGCCTCCGGCAGCCACTGCTCAATTTTGGCGATCCGATGCTCGTTCTATTTCGCAATAATGCTCTATTAGCCCTCAACATCAAATAATTGATAGCAGGGACGATGATAACATACCGATGGATGCGTGCTAAGCATCTCGGGGACCTCTTGCCCGCCCAGCCGCTGTATTGTCTCCATCCTTTGCCAGAATCCAACGGCCTGTCGGGGATCGTAGCAAGCCTCTGCCATCATCATTAAGCCAATGTAGTCGGCCTCGCTCTCCTGCTTGCGGCCCATGGGTAGGTAGAAGAGCAGATCTTGCAAATAGTACCCTCCAATCACGTTCCATAAGCCGAACAGCGCCAGGCCCGGCAGCGCTCCGGCAAGGAAGAAGAGACTGCCAACTGTGAGGTTGCCAACCCATGCAGCAGATAGGCGCTCCGCAGCATGGGAAGCCGTGTTGTGTGCGATTTCGTGGCCCAGGACAGCCGCGAGGGCATCTTCGCTGCGGCAAACATTGAGAATGCCGCTGTGGACAAAGACTTTGCCGCCTGGGATAACAAAAGCGTTTGCCGTTCCTATCACGTTGCGCAAAGATAGATGTTAGCAGAGCACAATGCCAGGAATCAGCGAGGGAGGTAATAGAAACGTACGGCTATCCGCAATCACTCGGACTTCCCAGTCTAGGTTCTCCATCCCGCTGACCGGAATCAACCTCTGCATAACCCTCTTGACCAGAATCGTCCGCGGGTCCCAGTCCGATAAGAAGTGCCCTCCCTGCTCCTCGACCTGCCTCACAATCGCTTCAGCAGCTCTCGCATAGGCCTGCGCAACTAGCGTGTCGGACAGGAAGTTGAAGCGCCGCCGCCCAGTCACCGGCACCGTCTGCGAGTTGTACATGTAAAAGGCTACCGCGGCAGCCACCGTGGCGACTACGAGCGTGCGCGAGTTGCGGCCAGTGCCCGCGTTGGTAAACTTGCCCGCCAAGGCATTGGACACGAGAGGCTTTGCGCTGCGCAGGCGCTCGTGGGGATCTTCGTGATATGGACGATGTCGTCGAGCTGATTGCGATAGGGGGCGCCAATTGCGGCTGATGCTGATGCTGCTTCTCAGATGAGAGCCGTTCTGTCGACAGGTTGCCAGCAGCGTCATGCGAGGAGCCTGGTCCGATAAACGGACGGTGCCGCATCCCCGGAACAAATGGCGGGGGATCATCTTCGCGGGAGGGAAGGTTTCGCCAGTTCTTTTCTGTGCTGCTCCCCCCAGCCGGTGCCTCTTCCAGGGAAAAGCGGCGTCGCCGGGGGTTACGAGAGTTTCGTTGGACGGTGAGGCGAAAGAAAGACGATGAAGAAGAAGACAAAGTCGAGATGGTTCGGGTTGAGATTTGATGCCTCGCGAGGTATTACTGTCTACCTAGTTCAGTACCTACTAGCCTAGTAGGCACTAACAGCCTGCTGCATACGTCAGTCCACCGGCTTGGGGAAAGACGGGCAGCGGTGCCTCGGTGGCGTGTTAGTGTGTCGATTGAAAGTCCCAGGGGCAGGATAAGAATTCTCCGATTCCGACTGGTGATCTTATAGCCATGGATCTCAATCTGCAAAACAGCCCTAACAACAAGGGTTCAGGGTATTACTGATCGTTTTCTCCGACTTTGCCTAGAATTTCCCCAGCCATTCCTCAACTTCTTCATATTGTGGAATTCAAAGCAGCACAGCAAACTCTGTTAGAAACAGCGCGAATAGACTCTGAGTTACTAATGTAGTTAAGGTCCATGCAGCTTGTCAAGCTTATTCGGCCGTAAATAAGATCCTCCAAGCTAAGGCATCAGTGCAGTGCCTAAAGCATTTATCCATTACCAATCTTACTTTTCTCTTTCTTTCTTTTGCAACTTCATTCGAATCCGACTCTTCTTTGCGTAAGCTACTAGCACTGGTTGCACTCGCGTATACACCTGACCTGCAGTTCAAAACGCCTCAAAACTCCTCTGTGTCTCTTAAAGCCGCCAATATGAGCAATTCCGACGACTCAAATACCCTCAAACTAATCACTCCCACCTTCACCCCATCCTCAACCTCCTCCACCGAATCCGCCGGGGTAGCTTCCATTATCAAGTCCCTCTCTCTTATCGAGCACGTCGAGGGCGGCTATTTCGCTGTCACAGACGTCAGCGACACTTTCATCCCATCTCCCTATCCAGAGGAGCCTCTCTCGCAGCGCACCATTGATCTCGTCAACGGCCTCCCTGCCGACTACGACCCTTCGAAGAGACGGCTTTCTACTACCATCTTCTACTATTTGACCCCCAATCGGCCTATGGGCTCATTTCATCGTAACCGAAGCCGCATCATCCACAGTCTTCACCGTGGCCGCGGCCGCTATGTCCTCATCCACCCGGATGGCCGTATTGAATCATTCGTTGTTGGCCACAACGTTGAGCGTGGAGAAAAGCTACAGTGGATAGTAGAAGGGGGCGCTTGGAAAGCGAGCTTCCTACTCGCTGATGATGACGGCCAGTCGAACAGCGATGGCCTGCTCATCTCAGAGACCGTTGTGCCTGGCTTTGAGTACGCCGATCACGAGTTTCTCTCTCAAGAGCGTCTGGTTGAAATCCTCCCTGAGACCAAAGCCAAGGCTCTTCAGTGGCTGGTTAAACACTAAGATACATTGTAGCACTGTAGATCGGCGATGATGTGGGGAAAATAAAGTCCAAGGTAGCACTATCGGGGCTGTTGTGAAATTATCTCTATTGAAATATAAGATGTTCAGGCCCAAGCAACACCTTGGCTTCAGCTATAACCAGCCTCTTTTTTTCCTGTAAAGACAAATTCCAATGCTTTCATAAATTCATGCATGGCGTGACGAATTGTGTGATCAACATCAAAGCTGCAGCCTTTCCTCGCCACGCCCATCCGGCGGTGTGACGTTATTCCAAACGCCCGGGCATCCATGCTAATCGAATCTCTACATGATCAATGCTTTTTTTTTTTTTTTTTTTTTTTTTTTTTTTTGAAACTAATAGACAAAATGGTGGAATGTAATATTGACAACTCTCCTCTCAGCTTTAATTCTCTTATATTTGACCTGGGAATGGCTTTCTACCCCAGACGACATAAAAAGGCAGATAGGCGTGGATCGATGGATCGGATACGTCTCGTCGAACCTCAACAAGCGATACCTGTAGCCATCGTACTGTTAATCATCTTGTGAGCTGAGAAACTGGTATCAATGATATCTCACCTCAATCTGTTCGGGCGTTTGCCCATAGATGCGGCTAAACAGGCCCAGCGAGAAGGCACTCAGCCCCATCTGCATGTTCAGCTCCATCATCTTACCAACTTCCTTTAGCTTTGCATCTTTGGCCCATCCGTTCAGTGGGATCTTGTAAACACGCTCATGGATATCAACGAAACCCACGCGCTCATATATGCTTCGAAGGTTGCATGCTTCTGTCACCGGTCGCCGAGCCTCAGCCGCAGCGTTTAAAAAGTCACGAAACCATAACCCCAGTGCACTGTCTGGCTTGAGAGTCCCATCGTCGCAGTGTGGTACGGGAAGAATCTCCTGAGACTCGAGCCATCCGCCGGGCGTCAGCGTATCAAAGGCCTGTTGGGCAATCTGAGTCTCGAACGACTCCCAACACGCACCCGTCGTCTTGGTATGAATGTAGTCGAAAGATTCACTATAGTCCCATGGTTCGGACCTATAAATATATGACAGATGGGATGAGTCAGAATGAGGAGAAAAAAAGGTAATAGAAGTGGGAATGGGTTCCTTACGAATCTTCCACATAAAATTCGACATTTTCAGGGACAGTCTCTGGCTGAATTGGCGACAGGTCTGTAGCCATGACTTTTGCATTTGGGAAACGATCGCCCATTGCAATGGCCCAGTCCCCTGCACCAGTAGCAATGTCCAAAACTCGCTTGGGAGGTTGGTCATTTAGCGGTGCAAAATAGAGCCTGTTGTTCATGATTTTCATGAATATCGCATCTTGCAAAGCCAACCGTTCTATCTCTGGTTTATCGTTGGGAAAAGCATACGCTAAACACCGGTTCGAGTCAGTTATAGCCCGTAGTAGCCAAGTTTCTTGCTAATATCTCACATCCTTCTCTATATGCGTGATAGGTACGGCCAAAAAGGCGCGGAAAATTGTAAACGCTTTCGGTTAATGACATAGACGAGTCCATCCTAGAAGTTTCGATTAACTTTTCTGACTAGAACAAGAACACGGAGTTGGAGAATGGGTTTAGGAATGAAATCGGGTGATGTCGTCTACGCACATGCTTTCGGCCTGGGGCTAGTGCAACAAGAGTCAACTATTGTCATCACATCAATCGAAAGAAGGAGAAAAATGGAAAGATCTCAGCGTACATCGGGTTCAATGCAGCTCTCGCCACTTGAGCTAGGTGGAGAGCAGTGAAAGGTGAATGGGCAGCCGTCTAATTCTGAGGACCCCTGGCCAGTATTTGGTAGCGGGTGTGGTTGGTCTCCCATTTTCAATCCGTTGGTTCAATCTCGAACTAAAAGATATCAAGAATTATTGCCAGGATTATCACGGCAAAAGCGAAGTTGAGTCGGGCAGTTGGAAGGAGTGCAAGGGCGTGTCCGGACAATTAAAAGAAGGAGAGAAGAAGAAAATCGAATATAATGGCGCAACCCGGCTGGGAAGTTGTAAAAATGTATTGATAAATATTTGCACTGGATGCTTGCAGAACAAAAGGACAAAGACGCTGTAAATGCTATAAACGGTACGGCGCACTAGTAACATAAACAGAGAGCGGAAGTATCAAAGGCGGAAAAGGCCAGACGTAGCTAGGCCGGGCTGTCTGAGAGCGCAACGGAACAGAACAGCACGGCAAACTGACAGATACCCACGCTTACAGCACCGAACCAAGCAGGCGGTAACGAAAGGGGGGACCAGAATAGCCGGGACTAAGATGATGCGCGTAACCAAGGCTCGCACGAGGAGCAATCCGCTGCGTGCTACGATGGCCGTGCCCTGGTGACAGGGGGGTCGGACAGAGGCCAGTTCAGTTTGGCCCTTTTTCTTTCTCTTTTTTCCTTTTTTAGAGGCACTTTAATTCAGAGCCAGATCGCCCTCAGCTGAGTACTACTGCTAGGGCCCAAAAGTACGCACGGATGCTCCAGTGCTCTCTAAAAGGGGTGGCCTGAGGACGTATAGTAAAGAAATTCATTGCCTAGCTTGAGACCACAGAGCCTCAAATTAAACATCTATATTCGCCGAGAGTGGAGGTGAAAGATGACTGAAACTAGAGCACGAAGAGCTAGACTGCCACGGCAACGCGTAGGCTTTTCCCACGTTGCTGGTGATCCAACAGAACGCTTCCCATCCCAGGTCCCGGGAAGCTGGTTAGATAAAGTGGGGATATAAGGCCGTGATCCAATATATCTTTTTTTAACTAGCCAGCTAATTAGCTAATATAAAAGGGGCACTATACTTAAATTAATAAAGATTTTTAATATAAAATTATATTACTTTTCCCTATTAAGTATAAAATATTATAACCCCTGCTTATAATATATTAAATTAATAAAAACTATAAAAATGCCTATAATAAAAATAATTATTAAATTTTTTATTAAATCTTATTTATAATAATTAATTAAAAATATATATAAAATTATATAAGTTTTTAATTAATTAATATTTATTAAATTTTATTAAAAATAGCTTTATTAATAATTATAATATTATTAATAAAAAAAATTATTATTAATAATTATAAAAATTAAAAAAAAACTTTAATATAGTTATAATTATATAAAATTATATTATATAAATAATATAATAATATTAAAGTTATAATTATAAAGTAAAGCTAATATTAAATAATTTAAAAGCTTTATAATATTATTATAAAAAACTTTTTTAGTTTTTTAATTTAATATTTTATAATTTTTTTTATATAAAAAAAATAATATTTTTTAAATTTTATAAATAACTTTATATAAATATAAAAATAAAAAAAAATTATTAATAATTTTTAAAGTAAAAAATATTAATATTTTTATAAATATATATTTTTAATATATTATAAAAAAGTATTATAATATTTTTTTATATTAATTAATTAATTATATTATAAATATTTTATAATTTAATTAATTTAATAAAAAAATTATATATAAATTATATTTAATAGCTAAATTTATTATATTTTTTTTTAAAAATTAAATTAATTAAAAAGTTTAAAGGCTTTAATAATATAATTAATATAATAAATAATATATATATTTTTATATATATTTTTATTATAAATTAATAAAAATTTTAATTATAAAAAAATAATATATTATAAAATATATTTATTATTATTATTTTTAATAATTTATTTTTATATATATTTATTAAAGTTAAAGATTTTATTTTTAATTTATTATTTTTATTATAAATATTAATTTAATTTTTT